TCAGTCACAGTTAGGAGAGATGAAGGACCACCTTCGATCAATATTTGAATAATTGGGATTTTATAATCTGTAGAACAGAACATTATGACTAGACAAACAGGAGTATTAATTACTTTGTCTATAATGAGAGCTACAACGAGCTTCCTGTTCAATTTCAGCACGCAACTGAATAGTGAGGTCGGCTCGAACTGGATATCCGTATTGTTTCCAGTTTTCATCATTTGCATCACATTTATCGTCAAGAAGAATAAAGTGGGTATGGTTCGGATCGAGAGGATATGATGAAGGTTTCTGTTGTGGTGCACAATTACGATAGAGTTTCTCACGATCAGTTACTGTGTTAAATGTCGATATGGGTGTCGAACTCTAGACAACACTTTTATTTTTCTGGTAGCTCATGAAAACCATATACATACTCCTACGCTGTTCGATTTCATAGATCGTTGTTGAATGAGTTGCTTATAATCTATTGTTGAAATAGTAAAAACGAATTCTTGAAAGAATGATATGTTCATTTTCTCTTACTTGTCGTGTAATACCAGCTTGCAATCCCAATAACAGGAACTCGAGCATGAATCTTATCCACACTACTGGTCTTGTATGTCCATTTTTCAAATGCCTCACCCACATCCTTCATAACTCCAGCATATGTTCCTCCAGTAAACACCCAGGCATCTATTCAGAGATAGAGATGAACAGAATACCTATCATGGCTCTTACCGGTAGTGACAGCAGCTGCGACCAGTCCCTTTTGAAGAGCAGCACGACTTCTTTGTGTTAGATTGAAGATTCTAGCGCCGCCTGTGACTGAGATTATCAATTCAGGTGGAGGCAATTCCCATCTATCACGCAACAATTCAATAAGATGCTTAGCTGATTCGTGTGCTACGGGTTGCATAGGAATATTAATATGGCTAGAGGGCATTTGTTTAATCGTAGAAAAACTTGACTGATTATCTCTTTCTTCATCAGCAGCAGTAATCTTCCTCTGTTGGTGAGTCTCGTTTTGTGATGCTGATTGAACAGCATTATGAGGATTGAACGGATAACGTATATACTATGTAATTCGAATTAGATCAATATTATTAGCAAAAACGCTTTAGACTTACCCATGATTTACGATCATTCTGCGCGAAATGTATTCGCCCATAATCTTCAATTCTAAAACGTGCAAATCAATGATCGGATAGACTATGTAAATGAGATACTCACTGTCTGTCTTGATATTGATCATTATTTTCTACGACCCACTAGAATGCCGAAAAAATATTTGTAATTCGACGGTTGAGTCCTACCTACTACTTGCCTGATGAACTGCTTTCGTAATGCGGGTACACGCTTGTAAACGTGCTGATTGCGTTTCAGTATCTACCATATTGTATGCTTAATTATTGTTTATCACATCTATACTGCAAAAAGTATCATAACAGTCACCTGAAACATAGTGGCATATCCAGAAAATTGTGGGTGGGATGACAGTGCCCACCGTCCTTAAAAACTCTCTCCGCTTTCATTAAAGTTTTTTTCAGTATAAATCAAGTTATTCAGTTACCGAGCTCCTAGTGAGTGACACAAAATAGTATATCTGTTCTTTTATTAAATGAAATGAAATTAATAAAAGAAAGAAAAAAAGGAAAATAAACAAAAAATTATCGCTTCAACAGTATTCGAATGTTCTTATGCTGAATGGAGAAAGCATCAATTATCTTTTCATAATCAACAACAATATATCTCTCTCAATGCCTAACAATGATAAAGCATTCAGTCTGATATCGGACATACTATTATGTGCAGTCGTTTTGATATGTCCTTTTCTTTTGGTGAAAGCAGCAGAGGTTCTTTTTGACCTCTAATAGAGTTTGTAGCACAATGAGATGCCTATGGGTGGCGAATGAAAGATCCAACTGTCCAAAAGGGCGTTTGCTCGCGTAATTACTCTTTTATTGCAGAATCGCGATATGGCAACCCTTAGCGCCCCTTCCCCCACACTAGACAATCAGAAGACAAAATCGACTTTCGATATTTGAGCCTATAGCATAGCTAGCATCGAAGCTACTATAGTGCTGCATTTAAGTGTATCGTGGACGTTGCTTTATAATGAGCGCCTGTCAAGCAAGTAGGTACCACAAAGTACATAAAATAGGTGAATATCATTAATAGGCCCGTATTAGTAAAATGTATGTTTTAAATTGAGAATCTATTAATATTCATTAGTTATTATATACATAGGGCACTACAAAAGTTTTTTCATACAGCTCTTCTAGAAATGGTAATTTGAGGACATCTATTCCGCTATAATACTTAAACATATTTAGGACTATGTGCAAAATTTCAGCCGTCCACGCATTACCCATCGTTGTACTTTTTCTTTTTCTTTTTTCATGTCACCCTCGNGTTAATTTATTTGATTGTTGAATATTGTTTTTTTTTTTTTCTCTTTGTTTTAGTCTCTTATTGGAAAGAAAACACCTGTTCAAGGAAGTTTACCTCAAGCACCAGCTAAACCAACTGCACAATAAAAACAAAAACAAATATATATATATATTGAAAAGCAAATAATTGTACAGGTTCTCTACATATTTGTTTTTCTCTTTGTTTTGTTCTTGTGTGTTGTTTATCATTGCATCAATGATTGATTTATTCTTTATTTGTGTTTATGTGTAAATCAACATATATCATGGCATAGATGTTTATTCTCTTCGAAAAAAAAAAAAATAAATAAAAATTGTCTTTATGTTTATGTGAATTTTTTTTGTTTGACTAGAAAGAAAAAAAAACATATATTGAAATAAAATGAGAAAATATAATTAAAATATTTCTGTGGTGATATTATAATTATTGGAAAGGATTTATAAATGATATTGTTTTCTATGGAAATTTGTATTTGATCGTTATCATGAAAGAAGATTGAGATGGTATAAGATAAGCGAGATACAGGGCTTATATGTGAAATCAATTAGAATTCGATGTTGATGTCATTTTCGTTATGTTTGGAATGTGGTGAACAAGGTTGTTTTAACCTTAGTTTAAGCTTAGAGAAAAAGAAAGTTTGTTTTCTTAACGGTATTTCCAAAATGAATGCTGTGATACTAGAAATATTGATGTTTGAATTTTCACTTAAAACTTTGCATGGAGACAGACCTTAATAAAAATAGCTTATTGTGAAATTTTCGGATATTGTTAATGTTTCAATCTTTATATCTCAACATACAATTACATGTCTTTTGCCATGACTGCAATAAACTTGCAGATCTATTGTTCTTATTTCAGCTTGGAAGCAAATTAAAAAGTCTGAAACTTTTACAATAAACTATTGTCATTAAAGCTCGTCTCTATACAAAGTTACAAGTTGAAATTTGAGAATTAGTTTTTCTGTTACTACTGCATTCATTTAAACTAAATACCCTAAAAGAGCAGTATCATTGCAATAGTAAGCTAAGGACAGAAACTTTTCAGGACATTCATAGCTCATTTAGGTTTGCACGGTATTCATTCAAAAGTAATATTCTTCTGATAACAATCAAGAATTAAATAATGTAGCTAAACTCGAATGTTAATATTATTTTCGAACACCAATCGTCTGGTTTACTTTTAAGTTTTTCTTATCTTAGATTACTTTGTCGAAATTTGCATACTGAATGAATCGATATTTTTAATTGCATGGAAATTTTGTTTTCGTAGTCTGCATTATTGTAATAATCAGTTACACTCGAAACAGTTTCCTAAGAATATTGAAGACAAGGTATGTCGAAAACGAACTTCACATTAAAACAATAGGTATAATATATAAACCAATGTCTTATAAAAATAATGTTTTATCGATCATTCTATCTTAGGTCTGTTGGGATTCAAATAAATTGTGAGTAGTGAGAAATTCCTTCGAAATCATTATCGATCTAATAGTTTTATCTAATCATGTTGCTCTTATTACTACTAACATCTATAACAATAAAACGACTTTAGCAGGTTAAAGTCAGATTTACTAATAATGAAGGACATCAATCTATAGGTTAGGAATACTGTTAATTAGATCAGTAAATCTTAACGTAATAAAGGAAATTTTGCTGCTTTTATTCGATTTAGTACCCGACGTATATCATTAGAATTGAGCTATATGAATAGCTGAAATTAAAAAAAATATATTGAAAGCATTTTCAATATCACTGCATTGTCCTTATATTGTAAAATAATACTGCTGTGCCATTCAACAATCTGCGAACGTATTTGACAAGACTACAAGTTTTAATAAATACGCCGCAACTAGACCAAAAAAGACTCTATAATCAACTATATTCTAAGGTAGTTTTGATCTTCAACAAAATTCTAACAGTATCTCAAGAAATTAGACTTCTAAATTACTCTTTCTAATCTATTTGCTATAACAAGATCCACTAATAGTAAAATGACATCGGGGAAGTGTATTCGAACATGATGCCGTTTTACTATTACATGTTCAATTCAGTGAAAAAGTATTTCCTCTAAAACATCCGAATTCAGCTACTTCAATACATTTACATCAGTGAAATTTATATGAAAATAAATGAAGGTCGATAAACGCTTTCCTTTCATGAAGAAATACTTGACATCATCCTAAAAGTTTTCAGTTCAAACGATCTGTAGTTAACTACTTGCTGTAAAAAAAACATCCAGATTCTATATATTTTGATGAGAAACTGCTAAAAAATCCTTCCACTTCATGACAATGGATTCGAAATAATTCAAGAAAATTTTTCAACAACACATCCTTCTTCAAGTATCCTCAATCAAGTGCATAAATATCAATTGAATATATAGAAATTAACCAAACTGACAACTTTCTACGTTTCGACTTGAAAATTCTTTCATTAATTATAAACAAAAAAGAGATTATTTATAAAAAAAATAATCTTGTTCTAAAATTCTCTTCAAGTAATATCTATTTATTTTCTTACTACCTAATAATAATAAAAAAAAACTTTAAAATTAATTAATTGCTTGATTAATCAAACTAGAAGATGAAATTAAAAGTTTTTATCTTCTCGTAAAACATGAACACGATCACCAACACGAATAATACCATTTTCACTAGTTGCAAGATATATTCCAAATTGTGCTTTAATACCATACAACTCTGGTTTACGTCGATATCTGTATAAAAAACAACAACAGTGAAATGATTAAATATATAGAAAAATTCTTAATTTCAATTACGTTTGAAGTGTTTTCCATGGTTCTTGTTTTTCATCACGAATACCTGTTTCTTGATTTACAGTTGGCAATAAACACCTAAAATTTTATTTCAAAACGCAACTATAATTTTTCTTCTTAGGTATGTGTATTATCAGATTCTACTGCGCAGCTTTGACAAGTCAACAGATTGCATAACCTTTGCTGCTATCATGGTAGAATAGGCTAAGGTGATACATCTATAGATGTATCGACGGTACGCAATAGAACTTGATCAAGCGTATTTCGATTTTGTTAGATTGAGTGGAATATTTTCTACACCGTTGAACCTGATAATATATACATTGTTAGATAGACGAAATCTATCTCTAAAAGTTCACAGATATCTCATTTTGCAGTTTAAACCTGATAATCTCCTTTCTAAATATACATAAGTGAAGACTCTTTATTACCGCAAACATGATCGAAACCATCGAAGTTTAACTTGATCACCAATTTGTATTTCTCGCCAATAATCCTAAATATTATATCAAAAAAAATATTTATTCCTACAAGAAATTATATATTCTACTTCGCCATATGGTTTATCAACACCACTAACAATAATATTTGGTCGAAAATTATATATTTTAATTGGCTTTGGTAATCGTTTATTAAGATCATCTATTGATTCCAATGAACCTAAATGAAATGGACTCATATCATGATAGACTACGACATCTGAGTCAAGTGCTTCATTTGGAAATTCTCGTTCAATGTTTTTTGTATGTTGAGGTTCAAATTGTTCATCAAAATAAATTAAATCTAAGCCAGGTCTTTCTAAAAATGTCGAAAACCATTCGGCAATTTTACCACCATATGCTCGACCTTTAACATTAAGTTCTCTACAAAAAAAAAATAACATCGATAGAAAAGTTTTATTTTATTAAATGTACTCTATTTCTATAATATCTTTTGGTAATGGATTATAAGGAATCATTAATGATGTCATTCCAGGTGCATCAACTTGAAGACCTGATGATGTAAATGTTGGTTGAATCAATGCCATTCGAGACATATGACGTTGATTCCTTTGGCGAGCTCCTTCTATAACCAACCATCGTCTAGATAGAGTAAATCGTACGATTTAATTTTGTTTTTTGTTTTATGAATATTTGATATGTACCGATCAGAAAGTAAAGGATTTGATGGAAGTGAAAGTCCATAACGAGTTGTTAGTGCTTCATTGACTTTAATAGCACCACAAGATTTTATTGGATAAATAAGTATTTCTTGCACTGTAATATCTGATGTCGTCATGATAACCTACTAAATAACTGAAATACTCGATAATAAATGAAATGAAGAAAGCGGCTTCTTTTTTTTTACGTTATCATTACGTGACTCTGTTCTTTCATTCGTTTATCATTGTATGCTAACAATCAAAACTTTAGATATCAATGGATAAATACAAAAAAAGCGTAAAGTCGAACTTTCAAAACGATTTGTTTAAAATATCACGACAAATAACCGTAACTGATAATTTTCAATTCGAGATAATGAGTTTCGATGAAAATACTGACATTTATTTGTCGACAGTGAGGTGACTGACTACACTCGATTGGTTATGGCTTAGGCATTAACAATAGAGACCTAAATGAGGCTTCAAACTATGAAAAATCTTTTTTAATTTGCAAGTGCTTTTGTGGTACTAATTGAACAGAATCGTTTTGTTTACTTATTAAATTTAGAACCTCTTCGTGGGACAAGATCTTAATTGTCATTCCCAAGTATCTTAGAGATAAAGAGATAGTCGAAAATTTAATCAATTTTAATTTTTTTTTTCTGTTCTACATATCTATTGATTTGCTCACAATACTCTCAAGTCAGATATGATTGGTGATAGCACACTAATCTTAAATTACATAATATATATGAATATGTAAGCTGTCGCTAAGTTACGGGAAGAAAATGTTTTTGGAGTTGGAACTAAAGACGTTTGACTCTGTAGATTTCTTACTGAGAGTCACTGACACACTGGCTATACTTTATCGGTGTTCACTTAAGTATTGTCATAACTATATAGTATGGATATGTCAAGTAAATCAGTGAATACTGATTGAGTGTAAGTTTTCAAACAATATATTAAATTAGAAATATCCCTAATTTTTTAGGACTTTCACCTGAAAATGGAATGTAGAGTAAAGTTAAAATGATTTATACATTTCAATAAGCATAAAAAACTATTTTGAATACTTGAAACTGTTACAGTTTTCGTTGAAAAACGTTTTAATTATTATTATTGGAAGAAAAGAAATCTAACAGAGGACTGCTCTGCTAAATCTATCTCCTTGGACATAATAATATACATAGGATCTCCTATTATTATGCTGTAAATGCTAGAAAGAATCAAAATGGTACGAATAGAAGAAAATTGGTTCCACCAATTATATAAGAAAATAAAAATTATGCTCAGATTTTCAAAAGTAGGGTCTCCAGAATACCACAGCACTATTTTTTCAACATTTTGAATGCATATATATAATTTTGTTGAGACTACACAGAAAAAATAGAGTAAATAATTTGTCTACGAAATGAGATGCCTTCGAGTTCTGTGTGAAGTTTTTTAGCTGAGATACAGGAATCTTACAGAAGCCATTAAAGTCATTTTTGGTCCTTGCATCAAATTGCCGCATCTCAACTAAAAAATGTTACTTATTACATCGTGTATTTTATTCACCTGTCCTTTTTTTGTTCATATTAAAATACAGACCTAAATTGCATTAATTTCATGAGTACTGAACCGTGCCTATCTCTAATTTACATTTGTCAAGACATCGAAATCGATACCTCAACGTTACGTTTCATTTCATAACTCTAAAAGGATTAATCTCTATAAACTAAGGATTGTGCAAATATTTATCGTTGTGATTAATGAATTATAGCGATTTGATGATGTGGTGTGGAATGTCTACAAGAGAATTATATGAGACGTGTCTTGATCAAACAATACCATTAAGGAATGGTATTATGTATTTAGTAATCGTGTACCCATCAAATATTTTTCTTATTATTAAACTCGTTAAATGTAAGTTATGTAAATAGTTTAGATTTGAGATCGATATTAAACGACTTGATGCAGGTCAATAACCAAAAAGGAAAAAAAATCTTACGCGAATCTAGATGTACGATTGAAATGAATCGTCGTGTCTTATGATGTCAACAATATCAAGGAATATTTAAATTGATTTTCTATGAATTTAAAAATAAGGACTTAACTTTATCAAAATAAACCAAAGTCAGTTTGTTATAATGGAAATGATTAGTTGTAATTTCGAAAGAAATTTCATCTATCGAAATTGTATGACTATAACTGTGTAATTAGAAGAGTTTATTATAGTTTAACAATCGTATCTCATCATCATTTATAGTTATAGTCATACTAGAATTCTTATGTGTTTTATTAAATAAAGAAAAATATATTATAGATTGTTACATATTAGGTCGTTTTTTTTCATGAAGTATTGATTTGATCGTTGCTATCAAATGAGATGATAACAAGTGTTAGCTGACATCACATGATGATATTATGCATAGAAAAATATTCGAAAGACATTTAACGAACATAAACCCACTTTTAATACATTTAGAGGTACTTCGAATTATTTCAACAAAAAAAAACAAACTAAAATTGACTTCACAGATTGTCGTATATAAAAGAATATTGTCTTTTCTTCTTCTTCAATGACAAATATGTCAATGACATCAACACATTTTAACAATTTCTATTAATCTATTTATTCTCAGTTTCATTGAAACAAATAAACATTGTTTGATAAAGTTTTCGTTTTTTTTTTGCGTAACAGTCGTATAGTTATTCAACAAAAGACATCTATTAAGAAAGAACAAGCTTTTCAAAAATTTTAAAACTATTTACATGCTAGATAAAACTTAGCATAGATATTTTTCGTGAAACACGTCAAAAAGGATTGTTGAATTATATAGGATAGAAATTCGTACCACCCTTCGCTCATAGACTGCGATGGACAACCGATGGGACCATTACAGACGCTGTTGATATACGATCAAAAATTGTAAATGAATAACATCTTGTTATAAACTACGAAGTACTTTTTTTATTGCATTTCTGGAGAAGAGTGATGACGAATTAGATACATTAATTAAATCTACAACTGCTGGTGGTGCTATTTCACATATTCATAAGATTTGTTAGTTGATTTATTTAGTTGTTGGATATTTGTTTTTCTCTTTGTTTTGTTCTTGTTCATTGTGTATTGTTTATCATTGCATCAATGATTGATTTATTCTTTTTTTTGTGTTTATGTGTAAATCGGTTGAAAAATATTTTATAGGTTATGCTAGTTTTTTTTGACAGAACTTGCCGAGAGCAAATTTTCATGCTCTTATGAAAGTAATCAACTTGTTTTATTTTTATTTTTTTGTCAATTTGTTTCATTCAGCTCTGAATTGTGTCAATCGATTGATATGTAAATGACCTTTTTTTTTGTCAAGCTACATGTTTGTATAAATATCTCACATTGTTATCTTTGAGAAATCAAACAGATATGAAGGACTAGAACGTGATATTTCTTCCTGGTGATCTGTAAACGTCAGAGTAGAAAAAGACTAGTGAGTGTTTTTGAAGCCATTTCTATTAGATAATTAATCATGAGGCAACAAACAGGCTACTTTTTGCGATTTTCATCGATCTAAAAGATTTTTTTGAACTGGCTGATTATTCGTTGAATCGAATCAGTCTAAAATTTAGACCGTTGATCCGAATATGGTCAACAGTCTCGATGAGTTCAAACCTTGATTTGCCACCTGTTTGTTTTTTTATCACGAAGCTTGTAAACGAATTGGGAATAAGACTTGCTGAAACATAAGTGTCACAGAAAAAACTAGCGTAAAAAAACAAGGAGAAAGAGCTGAAATCAATTGTTTTTTAAATAAACTAATTAAATGAAATGTTTTCCATTAAAAAACCGAGAACTCACTGTTGTTGTTTTTTATTTTCTCTCAATGTTAAATCAAGATAATGAATTTATACAGAAAAGATATCAGGGCAACCAAAAATTTGAGAGAAATTAAAATAATTGAAAAAATCAAAAACAGATGTTTTGAATTATAATGCTACACATCATCATCTAGGCGCTTGAAAAGCGGTTTTTAATTACCAAGTTCTACCTACAGGGTTAAGTTATAAAAAGATATTTCAAAACAAAACACTAAACACTCAATATCAGACCTTTTTAATTAAGTAATATTTTTGATTTTTTCTATGTAAAATTAGTAAAACGATTTTTAAAAAGTAGTTGTTTTTTCATCAGCACAAATCTCTAAGCATTTAGAACTAAGTTTCGCCCTAACATAAGTTTTACCAAATAAAATAACTGTCTGAATTCACCGGTTTTTACCGATCCGGAAATATTTTTAGACTGGTTCCAATTCTGGGTTATGCTATTGGAAAGAATTTATAAATGATATTACTTTCTATGGAAATTTTGTATGTGATCGTTATCATGGAAGAAGATTGAGAAGGTATAAGATAAACAAGATACGGGTTTTATATGTGAAATCGACAAGAACCTAATTTTTAAGTCATTTCTATCGTTAATAGTTTATAATTTCAGATGTGGCGAATAAGGTTGTTATATTCTCAGTTCGGGCTGAGAGAAAAGTATTTCAAGAATTTATTTGTATTAAATCAAAAAAGTCTGAAATATTTGGTCATCGGAAGTGATCCAAACTTTTTTGAACCAAAGTTTGGATCACTTCACATGACCGAAATATTTGTATTTTTATTAATTCAATCGACGTATGTGACGGTCAAAGAAAGTGAACCAAACACGTCAACCAAAGAAATGTGGTTCACTTCACTTAGACTAAAGTGACCAATTGTATTCGAGTCCATAGTTTATCCTTAGTTGTTCATTTTCTTTCGTTCTGTGAATCACTGACTCATCGAAAGATAGCAAATGATTCATTCAACCTGCTGTTTATCTGGAACTTTTTTCATCAATACAAACTAGGTATGCACCAGTTCTATAAAGTCGATATCAAAGATGACCAAGTTTTGATATTGTTAGGTTNATACTTTTATGAATTTTGACGGAAATTGCTTTAAAAAACGAACTAAAATTTTAATTGAATACACATAAGCATGTTATACCTAAAATATTTTTTTTTACTTGAATCGACTCAACGATTGGCATTCTATGGATTTTGCTTCTAGAGGAATAAATCTCAAATTTAGGTAGCTTCAAAATTTCACTATCTTTGGAAACGACTTGTGGCAAAATTCATAAAGCACTTGTTTTTATCATATATCTTTAAGTGAACAAAACCTACCATCTTTGATTGAGCACTCGATACGTACATCGATCATGATCTACATAGAATGACTCATAAGGAAAAATACTCAATTGTTGTGATATCAGTTAAGTCTAAAATTTCATCAATATTTGAGATCAACGTTAATCATACAAAAATCTCACTCAATATTTCGAGGATTTATTAGGAATATAGTATCGAATTACCTCACATCACAAGTATATATTATTTATGAGATAGTTCGACTATGAAAATAGAAATTCGATAATGAAACAGTGTAAATTGTTTTTGTCTGAATGAAAATCGATGATGAATACCAGTAGATCACAAAATATCATCCTTTTGAATCAGCAAACGAATCGTTCACAATTGTACAATTAACTTCAGTTTGACTTATCACTTGCCAAATATCATAAATTGCTTTCAAATTTTTGTCATCTTGAAACCTAACAAATAAATTATGAGAGAAAGCTTCTCAATTCTAAACTAAAACTTTGCCTAAATACGAATCTTGAAATAACTAGAAAACAAAAAACGTTTTCGAATATTCAATACTCATAATTAATAATGACATGTACAAGTTAATTTTTTTCCTCAATAATATAATGAATATTTTGATATGAATCAATATTGCTGAAGTTGATCAAGAAGAAGGTTTGATATTTTGTGCGACTTCATCTTTCTTGAGAAAATCATGCATGACTACATGTAAAGAACATTGATGTTTTCAGAAAAGTCTAGATCTCAGTGAGAAATACAATGAGAAAGGTCGAATATGCATTATCTGAAAGATGTTTCATATTTTCTATGATGCTGAACATCAGTACATGCATTTTATTGACTACTCAAGATTTCTTAGATCTTATTTAGACTTGTCTCAAAATCTGATTCTTCACAGACTAAATGATAGGCATTAAACTTTTACTTACTCAACTGTAATTAAAACTGTGAATTGATTTGTTTCGTCAGATGGACGGTTTTCTATCTTAGTGGCACCAAGTTGTATTAATGCATTGTTGAATTGTACCATCATATCTATACTAGAAGATATAGAGAGTTCAACATAAGACCGTACTGAGTACCTTTCGACTTCAATGTGAATAATAATTGCTTTGGTTTTAAAGAACTTGATATTTCAATGATTTCAGCATCGTAAAATATGGGTTCATTCTAAAATAAAAGAAAAGCATTTCCTATGTACAAATTCTACTTTTTAAATTCACCGTAGCTGTTCTTGACATTGATTGAGCATTATGATCGATACTCATTCGAGAATCCAAAGGTAAAAACGTATATTCGTCGTAATTAAAGTCAGGAGCACCAATTAGTAGATCGAGAAAATTTTCGACGCGTTCATATAGATTATTGAATTTCTCGTATGGTACTTTGAAAAGATTGCATAATTTCGATGACATTGTCGTCCAAAATGATTTATTTTCAGATACTGTTCGAAGCCATGCAAACATAAAATCTCGTTCAAGACATTTAGCAATACCAAAAATAAGTTCATTGACACCCGATGGTGGTTTTGTAACACCGAAATCTTCATCAACATGCTGTGTACTATTAACCATTGTAACGAGAGCAACTCGATCGTAATAGATAATACCATCTTCTTCAGTTGGCTTGATTTGTGGATGAACAGTTTTCAATAATTTACAAAATTCATTTACAATATTCTGTCGATTACGACCAGCCCACATATTTGTACAGACAAGTGTACAGAAAATATTTTTCCGATGACATTCAGAGACCATCCAAGTAACATGATCTAATACGGCAAATGAGCCAGGTGATGCACAATAAATCATACATAACGGATGAGTTTCTTCGATTAATGATGCCATATAATTACGAACATCATTCTCGTTCCAAGATTCAATGCCTGGTGTGTCCCAGAAGTTGGTCTCATGAGTTATGTGACCAATGACAGTTCGAGCCGAATACTTATGGATACTTTTTGTAGAAGAATTTAAACTTGTGTTGGAATTTGAAAGTTCTTTTCGACAGATAGCATTGATAAGACTACTCTTACCAACACGAGGCGAGCCACAAATAAGAATATTTGATAGATTGTAATTTTCTCCCATGAGTATTTATTGTCTAGAAACTAATCATGAGCATAATTACAATAAATTGTTCGTAGAAAAAAACAATAATCGAAAAGACATTTTACATTTTTCCTACTCTACGACGGTAGTTTCTCTTCGTGTACACCGACAACTGTATCACTTCAAGTGTTATAATGTGTATAAATCTGGAAATTGGTTTATGTAGAAAGAAAAAGTAAAATAGTCTGAACTCTTAACTAAAAGTAATATGATTAATCAGTTTTTTTTCGTGGCATTTAACTTCATAAGACAAATATGTTATAGCGAACGAAATTTTAAACGATACAAAGACAGCACAATTCATACATTAAGAAAAGTAACATAAGAATGAAACCGTTGAATCAAATGAATATAGTTCGTTGTAGTTTTGTCATTTTTTAAAATATGCTTTTATGATCAATGGAATTAGAAATATTGCAATATCTTTGCCATCTTTCCGAAGAAATTCTTCCACAGGAGGTCGACATACATTGAATATTTCTATCATTTTTTCGAGCATCGTCGACCAGAACGATTCATTTTCAGCAATAGTGTAACACCAAGCAGCGAGTTTCTCGTCTTTTAACGATGTTGTAATGGCAAAAATAAGTTCATTAATACCTTCGATGCCTTTTCGAACTTCAAGATCTATATCTTCGTAAACAATACTATTCACTAATGTACACAGAGCAAAATTTCCGTAATATTTTATGTTAGCTTCATCACGTGTCATAGTATGATAACGAGAAAGAAGCGAATGAAAATCATTCAATACATGAGCACGTTGTTGACTTCCTCCACTATATTTGTTTGTACAAACAAGAGCACAAAAAATATTTGATTGAATACATGCATCGACAAGCCATTGTAATAGATCGAGCCGAGCAAATGAACCTGGTGATGCACAATAAATCATACAGAGTGGAGTACTCTCAAGCATAATTTTCGTAAAATGCTTTTGAACATTATCTTTAGTCCAAGATTCAATACCCGGTGTATCCCAAATTGTAATAGAATATTCAGTTGAATTTGTAGCCTCATTTACTGATTGACAAGCTCGATGCAACACATACTTTTTCATTTCATCAGTTGCAGAAGATAAACTGCTACTTGTTTGAGCTACTTCTTTTCCACATAAAGCATTAACAAGAGTACTTTTACCTACACGAGCAGAACCACAAATTGCTATGTTAAACTGCTTGGCCATGAGTAATTGTGAGAAAAATTATCTAGAAAAATCAAAAAGACGTTTATTACATTATAACCAATCATAAGGTAAAAGAAAAGTTTAACACACGATTACAGTTAACGTTTTTTGCTTATGCTAGAAATATACATCATCATATTTTCTACAATTGGCTGAATCGATTCATTGTTTAAATTGTGTATATCTTTGATACGAAGCGAAATAAAACCACTAACCTTCTGGTTAAACTTTTCCCAAAAACTACGACGGTATAATACAGCATTAAACCAGCCAAGTAATTTTTCATTATTAAGTGCTTCCATTATACAATAAATGAGTTCGTCAATACCTTGTACCGGTTTTTTTTCCAATGAATATTCAGGATCGTAATATTCAATTGAGTTGACCATTGTACAAAGTGCACTAGTACCAAAAACTGTTACTTTGTGAGGAATTGGAGAATGTGATTGATCAAAGAATTTTTCAATACCCTCACCGAATATAGTCAATTCGTTTTCAAAGTCACGAATGATATCTTTTCGAGAGGCATTCGACCACATATTCGTACAGACAAAAGTCCAAAAAATCTTTTTTTCCTGACAAAATTTCAATACTGGACGAACTTGTGACAAATCAGCGAACGTTCCAGGTGCAGCACAATAGATAACACAAACAGGATCTTTCTTTTCAATAAATTTGAGCATAGTTGTTTCTCCACCTTTATTTTCCCATGATTCGATACCTGGTGTGTCGTAAAAATTAACTCGAAATGGTTTTACACCGGGTATTTGCTGTTGATTATCTTCCAAACAATAACATGTTACTTCTTTCGTGCAAGAATTCAAACTAGGACTTGTTTCAGCTTTATTCTCACCGTTACATATCGCATTAATAAGTTGACTTTTACCAACACGAGGTGAACCCATGAGAATAATATTGAATTGAAGTTTTTCTGTGACATGATTTACCTCTGTTGGATAATAATTCTTACAAAGATTTTCCTGTATTTGTGAAGTTTTGTCGCGTAAAGATGAAACTGCGCTTTCTTTCGTCTGTATTGTTTGCGTTGTTGAAGTATTGACCAGTTCTTCATCTGCATGTAATTTTATTATTTCAAAATACGGATTCATTTCACCTGGAGATTCATTATGCGATTCACTTTGTTCTCTATTCTAAAAATTGCACATTGGAATCAATTCATTTCTAATTATTTCAACTAGGAAACTTTGAGTCAGTGTACAAAAACATGCACCGTACCTCTCTTACCACATCTTTGTGTAATTGCTCATGATATTTACTCGTCATGCTATTAGATGTATTGCGTCCTAAAAGATTACAAAAAAGGAACATGTAGATTTATCTTTGTTAGAACCACTACTGCTTGTATCGTCTTCATCCAGATCGACACAATTATTGTCCACATGAAAGATATAAATTGCTCGTCGTACATATTTTTGACAAGTGGGACATTTATTAGTCTTATTACCGCATCGAAATAAATGAATACGCATGACATCTGAGGTTGGATAATATTCATCACAAAATTGGCATGGATATCCTCGACGTTGACAATTTGTTTTCTAAAAACGACTTTATTCTTTTTATTAGTAATTTTCAATATTTGCTGACCTTATGTTCATCCAAAGTGATTTGATTATCGAATCCTTGTCCGCAATTGCATGTAAATGCGGATGCTACATTGTTTCGAGCGTACATTGTAATCAATTTATTTTATACTGGATTTAAAAAGAGACAAAATTTTAACTAGCTACTTACATTTGAGATAAGATTTACTTAGCTAGACAGTCGAATGACAATATTTCATCTAGAATAACAAACTATTCATAGATTTTATCATGCAGAAGCAGATGCCTTATAAAAGATTAGTAGATGCACTTTTCAGACTCCATGTGAGTTGTGGTCTCTTAAACGAGTGGATCCTTTGGTAATATCAGAGTGTGAATCATTCCTATACTCCTATATTAATGTTACATTGAATATTGCATTTCATGTCAATGCAACGAAATAGTGATCCGTGGGTATGGTACTAGACTCATTTAGATACATGCATAGAAGAAGCACATGTTTCATGGAAAATATCAAAAAAAAAAAATTTAATGATGAATAATAATAATTTTAACTAGTTAACTGTTCATTTTTTTTTAAACTAAATAGTAAACCTTTCATGGCATAGCTTTTAGAAATTCACAAACATTTAAGAATGATACAAAGTTTCTGCAGCAAATGAGAACAGAAATTATTTTTCAATGGCAAAGCACAAAAAACTTAATCCTACAAAAATGCTTTCGAAATTCAAAGTTCCATTCAAAAATTCACTAAGATATAATACAAATGAAAATATGAATCAACGTAAAGTGCAACGTAACAAATCATACATTCGTATTAAAACCAGTAGAGCGAGCATCAATCAACGCAAAATGTGTAAAGTGAATGACTGATGCTTCCATATTATCAAAGGGGACATCGCTCTCAGAGACGAAAAATCTAATTTCTTTTGTTCATTACTTATTCATCTTAGAGTCAACTTTATCTAATACTAGCGCCGACAATAGCTGAATAAACACACATCCGTTAGAAAGCTTTGACAAGATCCTACCTAGCCAAATAAGACTTTTCAGTAAAAGTGTAAAAATTTAATGAAATTTCATCGAAATGGTGTTTGAAATGTGGAAAGACAATTAAGAAAACATAAGTGTACACGTATTTTTCTGAATGGATTATTTTATATTCAACAGTCATTCGTTGTTGTTCGTTTGTTTTTTTAAGCAATTCATCACATTCAGAAGGTGAATATTTAGTTGATATATTTAACCGTCGAGTTTTCTTGGAATCATTAAAGCTCTTGGGTTTTCGTTTCGACATGAATAAATGACGAAAGTTGTTGAAGACGACATCATTAAAAAATGATAAAGAATAAATCTAGAAGTTAAATATCGTTTAAAGTAATACAACAACACTTCACAAATTAAAAAAAGTACTTAATGAATCAAAAGAATCAATGAAAGACTAACGATCTGTTTGTTTGTTTTCTCTGTCACATGTCTCGTCTATTTATCGAAATGATAAAAGTCTTTGCGTTTCTTACAGCATGCGTCAGTTTTGATCCGACTAGGCAAATAAATTGGTAGCACATTACAGCTGAGAATCTTTCGCTTCTTGCTCTACTTCTGTCTTGTACCTGATTCCGTATATTTCTTATTAGATGTTAGTTTCAACCAATCATATGTATAGTAAGTTTTATTGATTGAGACTAGAGGGCTGCAGGGTGCAGGATTTTTATAACCTGTAACCTGCCCTGTAAATTTTTTGTAACCTGATCCTGCCCTGCCCTGTGAATATTTTTGCGGACCCTGCCCTAAAACTTTCTAATGTAACCTGTAACCTGCCCTGCCCTGCCCTGCTAATTTTAAAATAGAGGAATATCCAAAATTTCCTATCAGTATTTATAGTACNAGGTTTCAGATCAAAATTCAAAAATATAGCTTTGCTGCAAAAGTGGGGTGCTATAGAAAAAAGACACTAAAAACTCGATATCTCGTCAGAAACAAGCCAGGGGGACGAACTTTTTTTACCACAGACATAGCTCACTATGGGCTACAAGATGCGCAAAACTCCGGCTGAAAAGCGCTCTGGCACCTGGGAAGGTTCCCTTGTGAGTCGGTTAACTCCATGTGAAAACTGATTGTAATCTTGTACTGCCTTCAGACAGGCAGTTGAAATATGTTGACCATTTTCCAAACGATGGAAAATCGGAATCACTTCGCTGACTTTATGATAATTTGAAGCCAAAAAAACATGTTTGGTGTCCATCCATATGAAGACAATGGTGTCCGATGCAATCATTGTCTTACGAGGGAACATATGCAAGTGTAAAAAATCTTTTGAGTTCGGACTCTGTGCATAAGGTAGACCCCAGTGAGCTATGAAAAACCATAAAAGGATAAAGGCTGTTAGGTCTTCTGTCCAGAGTTACAGGTATTTTACTGGAATTTTAGCCTATGGCATGATATATACCAACAAATCAAATGATTGTATTTCGACCTGAGATTTTGCCCACAGGCAGATCTATTTATGAGTAGAATACCCTGAAAATTTCAGCTGAAAAGAATGTTTTCTTCCCGAGATATTTAAGTCCCAAAAATGACTCATATACTACAAAAGATGCCAAAATTTTCTGTTTTTTGAGACTTTAATATCTCGGGAAGAAAATATTCTTTTGAGCTGAAATTTTCAGGGCATTCTATTCAAATGTAGACCTATCTATGGGCAAAATATCAGGTCGAAATACAATCATTCTATTTGTTGGTATATATCATGCCATAGGCTAAAATTCCAGTAAAATACCTGTAACTCTGGACAGAAGACCTAACAGTCTTTATCCTTTTAGGGTTTTTCATAGCTCACTGGGGTCTACCTTATGCACAGAGTTCGAACTCAAAAGATTTTTTACACTTCCATATGTTCTCTCGTTAGTGGTATTCATTTCTTGTACAAGTTGTAACTTTTCAAGTATCTCCTATCATGAAATATTGAATATTTGAAATTCTCTCATGTATAAAAGCAAATTTTGTTCATAGGTTATAGAAAAGCTAAAATTTACACAATCAACTAATCTCATTGAGAACTTTGTACGTGCAAATTTTGAAGTAGAACGTAGGTTCAAACAGAAAAAAACAAACCATTCTAGACTTTTCTATTACGCAATTTTTTTAGATCTTAAAACTAAATACAATCAATCAACTGAAGGCAACAGTTATCGTACGAAAATTTGAGTAGACTATTTTGATGAATGGAATAAGATTAAAAAGTCGTTAGCACAACCATTGTGCATTTTACATGTGAAATACGATGAAGGTGCTGTTGCTAAGCACAGGAGATTGCTTTATTGTATCTATTTTAGGATTCATTTCTTCATCATACTTTTACTTAATCCTAAAGAAAAAATAAATAAGTAGGTCGTATATTATAACAAGACATTATTCATATATGGTCTTTGATCGTATATCAGCAACGTTTTGTCACGGTCTAGATGGAGTGAGTTCAGATTTCTATCTCTATACTATAACATTTTTTTTTCGATCATATTTCATAAAATAGATTAGTTTTAATGTAAGTTGTATTAGATAATATTAAAAACAAACGATTTATATCTAATAATTTTTTTCCCATCGTAGTATTTATCTCAATAATATTGTATGTTTGATGCTGTTCTGAATCGAAATGAATAGGATAAAATATTTTATTTAATTCAATAGAAATATAAAAGAACGTCTGATCTAAAAAATGAAAATTTGTTCGAAAATTAAATGTTTTCATTGACACGAATATTATTTAATAAGTGTAAGATGGTTTATTTTATGAGTAGTGATCTGGTTGATATTGTTATATGTTTAATTGTTATCTAGACGAGATTTTCAAGTCATTTGAATATAAATGTCATAAAACATAAGATAAGATTAAATATGACAAGTTGAAGTGAATCGATTTATTGTTTTTATCTTATGTGATTTATATTTACTTTAGTAATATATTCCGATACTGCGGTTGTTGCTCCATTAGAAACTTTAAATACAAATTTAAATTATAAAATCCTTGATGACTTTGTTGGTAAAATGACTGATTCAACCTTGAAATTTTTATCAAATAATAATTCTTCTACTACACAATCATTTGTATCTTCAGACGGTTAGTTATATTTGTTTTTTTAGTCGTTTATTGATTAAAAGTAATAAGTAAATATTGACTTTTTCTTTTTCAGTACCAACAAATCGTTTTAGCGTTGAATCTGTTGATAATAATAATGGTATATATGGAAATGATAAAAAACCACGTATGACTTTTATTAAACTAACGCAGTATTCAATAAATACAATCAATGAACTACCAGAAAAATCTCTTGATGAAGATCGATAAAGATGCTTGATTTGTATATTACTTAGGATATCTGAAGATCAATTAACTAAGTTATTCCATTTAGTTTGCTTTTCCAGTCTTTTTATTTTCAATTACTTTTCTTTTTTGTATATTTATATTTTTGCTCTCTCTTACTGTTTGTATATTTTGACCAGATAGTATATTTTTAAAGATTTAACAAATATGACAAATGGTTGTGTTTGTGTGATCTTTTTAAAAAAAAAAAAAGAAATTTAGTGTGCCCTATCTCAATAGATATTTAAAAAAAAAGATTATCGATGAACTTCGATTTATTCTCTTAAATGAAATATTATGTATTCATCAAACAATAATTGCGATTAAGAATGCAAAATAATTTTTATCATTCTTCAGATATTGTACATGTACATCACCAGGTAATATTGACTTTGATGTGGTTTTCATTATAAATCGATGAGTTTATTGAGTCGAAAGAAAATATTCTTTGACTGATCTAAATAGCATGCCAAACATTTCTTTTTGAAAATTGACTTCCTATATCCAAAGATTTAGCATGTATTATAATTATAATAAAATACTATAATGTTTCGGAAGTCCGATTACACATTACTATAATAAAAAATGAGATTATATCCGAAAAAAAGTCTTTTCTTTATAATTGTAAAGAAGAGAGCAATATGGTATTGATGGTATTTCGTCATGCACAACTGTCTTTTTTCTTACAGATGAAAAAAGAAAAAACAAATTCTTCTTATTTATTAACATAGAATGATTCATTGTGATGAAACATGATGATTCATAATGATTTCGAATATACAGTTAAACATTTAAAGAATTGATATTAATCATTGATTTTTTTCTTTTCAACACCTATTTCAAAATAAATAATAGAATTGTAAAAACTTAATCGTCCATGAAAACTTATTGATCCATAAAAAAATCTTCTTGCCTGTGTTTATAAATTTGCTCGTTTGATTGAAGTATTTATTTTAAAGTTTATAACAACTTTATTCAATTTCATTTTTCTATTAGTAAAGATTACATACAGTTGATTCTTGTATTACGTAAAACAGAAGAAAAAAAAAAAAGAAAACTTTTCACAGTTATGATTTGCGTTCAATGTTAACCTTAATCATCCATTAAAAGAAATACTTAAATACAGGATATTGCATTACTAAGAATTCGAATAAAGCAAAGCATAATCGATTATCCAACCAAGTGCATATGAAGCCTTTTGCTTTTTTTTTTGTCTAAGTTGACCTCGACATCATTGTACAATATTTGCCTGTAAAATTTTTGTTGTTTTTTTTATTTCTTCAGATGAAATTTTATTTAAATAATTTGAAAATAGTTCGACGATGTTTAATAGATTTTCATCGTCAATTATCAATTAGTCAAATATGTTTTCAATCTTCAGAATCAATACCAAATGTATTTGATCGACAAGCAAAATTAAAACAACGTGAACGTACATGTCTTGATCCAAATTATCGAATTTATTCTTATGTACATGAACGTGTTGCACAAAGTCTTGTTGATCGAATATTTGATATAAAACGGTGGAATTAATAAATTTATATTTATATTTAGTTTTTATTATTTGAAAAAAATTTTCATTTAGAACATTTGAATCAGCACTTGATCTTGGTTGTGGTCGAGGTTTAACTGCTAGTGAATTAACTAAAGATGTTGTTAAACGTATAACTATGATCGATAGTTCATCACTTATGCTTAGTCAAATACGTCCACCTGTAGAAGAAAATGGACATGATGGAATAGAGATTATTAAAAAACATATGGATGAAGAACAAATAATTGGTGATGAATCATCATATGATCTTGCATATAGTTGTTTAAGTTTACATTGGATTAATGATCTTCCTGGTGTATTACGTAAAGTTTTGTATTTATTAAAAAATGATGCACCATTTATTGGTAAACATATTTGAAATTAATCTTAATCTTTTACACATATCTTAATAAGAATGATTTTGAATATAGAAATAATCTTCAAATTAAAGTTTTTGAAAGAATTTTTTTCTTAACGAATATGATCTCTAAGAAAGATTTTAATTCAAGTGATTGATTAACAAATGAAATTTGATCTAAGAAAAATAAAAAAAAAAGAACGTAGGAAATATTCAACTAATAGTTGTTTGATTGGTTTCAATACTTCAATCATAAATGTAAGGCAATATGTGTAAACTCATTAAAAATTCTTTTTTTCTATCATCATCTCTTGTAATATGATCGACTAAATTATCTGTGCTAAAAATTGATTTGACAGAATTTTATGATCCTATTAATGATCATAATAACATATATTTGATATTTCTAGGTGCAATGTTTGCTTCCGATACTTTATATCAACTTCGTGTTTCACTGCAATTAGCCGAAAGTGAACGTGAAGGAGTAATAAGAAAGCAAAATTTTTAATTTAATCTTTTCTTTTTTTTTTCCTCAAGGGTTTTTCTGCTCATATTTCACCTTTTGTTGAACCACCAGATATCGGTGGTGTTTTACAACGTATTGGTTATAATATAGTGACATTAGTGCGTAATATAAAATTATTTTACAAAATAGCATTGAATAAAAAAAAAAAAAAAATTTGTTTTTGATTCTAGTAGGATCTTGATGAAATTCATATTGATTATCCTTCAATGTTTGAATTGATGTTTGATCTTAAAGGTAAAATAAATATTATATTAAAAAAAAGTAAATTTTTAATTTTCAATTAAGGTATGGGTGAAAATAATTGTAGTTGGAATCGAAATTTAACATTAAAACGTGAAACACTTCTTGCAGCTCAAGCTATTTATCAAAGTAAATCTAAAGATATTATTATCTTTATTTGTTATACTTCTGTATCATATAAGTATTCATTTATTGCCCGAATAGTATAACGACAAAGTCATAAATTTTAAAATATGTACATAAAAGAAGTAAAGAAAGAAAAAAAACAATTTGTTTCTTTTTATAGATATGTATGGTAATAAAGATGGATCAATACCAGCTACCTATCGTGTACTATATTTTATCGGTTGGAAGCCAGATCCTAGTCAAGTAAATATTTATTATTAGAATTTTAATTATTTCTCAAGTTGCAAAAAAGAAAAATCTTTTTTTTTTTTATAGAAAAGTCCTGCTAAACGTGGTTCGGCGAATGTATCTTTCAAGGATATAGACAAGATTTTATCTACGAAAAAATAAATCTTATGACCAACAGCTTGCTTATGTATTGATACTAAACCTTGACATGCTCATGTTCTTCTGCTTTTTCTTTTTTTTTGTATTAACAAAGAAAAAAAAAACACACATCAAAACTATGTTCTTCGGTTATGACACGCACATATCATTTAGCGTTCCTTCTTTTTTTTTTTTTTTCTTCTTTTTTTAAACAGAACAAAACCTGCATAGTGCTATTAAAGAAAAAAAAATGATAACAATGTTAAAGACATGCGGAAAACAGAAAAAGAAAAAACGTACATCTTACGGCACATAACAACATAACGTTCGATTTTTCTTTTCTTCTTCTTCTTTTTTGCTTCTTGTGCGTGTGTGTGTTCTTTTTGAAAAAAATTTTTTTATGTATGTTGGCTGACTGCCGACACTTTTGTTGCTGCTGCTACTATTCCCGTCAACATTATTATATGCACGCGCATATAAGAAAAAAAAATAAAGAACCGAAGAAAGAACGTGAACTACGATGACGACGATAACGGTAAGAAAGAATGTCTGTAGGACGTTTAGTAGTTTTTTTTTTTTCGTTATTATGAATGCCTACTGACCATTCACACGGATGAATAAGAAATGTATTGTATCATTTGCCGGTTGGCATATAGACAGACTTCCAACCCTATGGCTGCGCATATATGTATATACGTTCTATTTAACAAATGAAACTAAGACTGTATACGCAGAAAGAGAGTAATATATATATATATTTGAAGCAATAACAATACTTATTTTATTGCATTGTTGACAATCGTTTGAGTTTCAAATTTTATAGTCATTCTACAAAAGGAATAGAAGAAGAAAAAGAAAAATTTTACAATTCTGGATATTATTCGATATTAACATTTATGTCTTAAAATCAGTGTCAAACATTCATATTTTAAGCAAATGTGCATTAGTTTTTAATTGAAATGGAGCAATGAAGAAGAAGAAGAAGAAGAAAAAAAAAAGAAAAATTGATTTGAGTTGTATTTACATTCGAACAAACACAAGTGATTATTAGAGTATTCGTCGAGCTTATCTTGACAACAACTCACCTACTTAAATAGTAGTAGCTGTTATTGTTGTGAAAAAAAATGAAGGAGTGAAAGAAAAAGAAAATGATCGAAAAATTCTGTTGAAAACAAAAAAAAAAGAAAAATCAATTTGTGATTTATATTTGCTTATTCGTAGTCATTTTTCCACTTTTGTTTCTTTTCTATTTTGATTCAAACTTTTCTACATTTGATCATATGATATAGAACATTTATTAGTTTTTTCCTTAAGAGTTTCGTAATATTCACGCTTTGTGCCAAGTTAAATGAGTAAAAAAAGAGAGGGAAAGAAAAAGAAAGAGAGAGAGAGAGAGTTAATCAGACTGCAGATGATGTAAGACCATGGCGGCGAACGAATTCAATACATCTTGGGGCGCACGAATACATTCGATGACACAATCGGAACATTTGAAACCACAAATCTCTCTCCATCTCTCCTTCTTTTTTTTTTATGCATGTTGTCACAAGAGGTATTTTATGATTTGCTTGATTTTTCTCTCTCTCTCTCTGTCTCTCTCTTCCCTTCTTGTTCAAATCATCGTCAATTTATTGTCCTCAATACGTGTACAATTGTATAGTGTCGTAAATATTTTTCTTCTTTTCACTCATCAAGTAGTGCTCTGTACTGGCCGTCGTAGTCATTTAAAATATGGTCAATAGCATCACTGACGATACTAGCTTCGTCTCTTTTCTCCCTCAAGCTATGTGACGAGAAGAGGATCAGTCAATAACTTACCGAAGCGTACCACGCACTATGCTGCACTCCACTTATGTGCGTCAATATTTACTCATTCAAATCAGCATCGTTCTTTCTTTTTTTTTCTGTCTCGTTCTTTCGTTTAAAAATCGCTTCTAGTTGCCGTTTTCAATAGAAAAAAGTGAGTCGTAAGTGCAGTTTTCTTTTTTTGTCTATTCATTTTCGTCTTTCTTTTTTTAATTTTATTATCTTATCTGGATGAATATAAATATATAAATATAAATATATCTATATTTATATTTATATATATACATATATATGGACGGTGAAGGACAGGCCTTGAATAATGGACAAGATTAAATGAAAGACAGGCAGACAGACAGACATATGTAGGATTAGGATGTAAAATTAGCACGTCGTCGAGTGTCAATTTGTTTTTGTCTTTATCTACTTGCTCATCGAATTTATTCATTCTTTATCGTATTTTTTTCAATTTGCATTCTGTTTACGTGAAGATAGTAAGATGAAATGAGTAAGATGTCGACGACCTTTTGTATATATGAGAAAGAATGAGTGGGCGACACATATATATATATATATTCATTGTATGCGTATATTTATTTATATATAAATGTATATAAGATGATGAAGGTAGATTTCAACTTCATGATTATATACATAGCTGTCATTATACTAAGGATATTCGAGTAAAGAAAGAAGAATATTTCTACCTCATATGTTTCCATTTATGTACGACATTACATACATAAATTCTACTCAAAAAAGATGATGAAGTATTTCGTTGTTCTTCGATTTCAAAAGGTAAATATGTGCAGAGATGGTGTCTTTCTCTCTCTCTCTTTTTATATGTCATCTTCAATACGTGTGTGTACGTATGTGTAGTGCTTATCAGGCTGGTTCGTTTGCTTGATAGACAGAAAGAGAAAGAAAGAGAGAGAGAGAGAGAGGGAGAGGGAGAGAGAAAGACATTGTGGTTACAAAAAGATTAGCAATACGAAGAAGACGAAGAAGGACATATTGTTTCATTGTCGATCGTTGCCATACATATACTGCAGGTATACGAAGTGCCAATGAGCATGTGTGTGTGTGACTGTATGTGTGAGGAGGGAGAAAAAAACCTATATATATCAAATCGAATGCTGTCGTCTCATGTCTAGTCTCGAATTGCGAGCATTGATGTATGTATATAAATATATATGTCTACACTCTAATTGAAATGATACCTATATGTATATGTACATACGATATATAATCTTTTCGATAGTTTCTTTTTTAGATGTTACCATCTGTATTCAATTGATAAAATAATTTTTTTAAGAAAAAAAAAACAATCGAAAAAGAAATTTGATTATGTCTGGATTAAGTGACGCCGAACTTTTGCGTAATGCTAATGTTCGTCTATGTCGATTACGTGTTTGGTCCAATTTCGAAGGACTTGGTTTTAATCTTGAAGCATCTACTCGACCACCACATGTAATTCGACTTGTCGAATCGAATAGTCCAGCAGCAGCTGGTGGTTTAAAAATTCTTGATGTTGTATTAGCTGTTAATCAAGAAGATGTATCTGAAGCTGATTATAATCGTGTACGAAATGCTATTAAAACAGCTCGTGATAGCAATGCTCCTATTGAACTACTTGTTGTTGAACAGCGTTTTTATCAAGTATTAAAGAAAAAAAATATTCCAATTAATCCTCAAACAGCAACTATTATAAATACACCACCAACAATGCCAAACGATTATTTAAATTTTCCTAAACGTATACCACGTACATGTAATATACGTTTAAATAAAGGCGATACATCGTTTGGTTTTGAAGTTATTAATGGTGAAAATGATATTGGTGCATATATTCAAGAAGTATTTCCAAATACTCCAGCTAGTTATACACCGTTACGTAAATGTGATCGTATCATTGAAATCGATGATAAAAACGTTGATAAAGATGTAAGCAAATCTATATTAGAAAAATTAGGTAAAGCAAAAACAAAAGGTGCTGTCAAATTATATGTTGTTGATACAGAAACATATAAATATGCTCAAATAAATAAAATACTATTAGGATCGAAAGGAAAACGCAAAAGCCAATCAGAAGATAGATTGTCAGCTAGTCGATCTTACGCAAATGAACGAACATGTAAGTATCAAATAATCAAAATAATATAGGCATATATTTGTTATTAATCCTATCAACCTTGAATTTCGTATTTATTCAAAATTTGAAAATTGAGAAGTTTTGTATTACTTTTCAGTCTTTAAATATTAGGGAGGAAATAGCTATTTTGACATTCTGTGTTGTTTTTCTTCTTGAGAAAAAAAAATGACAACAATTAATATAGAACTGTTTCATTCAGCTTCGTCTATCAATGGTGATAATCAACCACCACCATCGAATACATCAACAATTCGTGATATGCCAAAAACTAGAACACCAAGTGTACCTGATCTTACACAATCGACAAGATCACAAATACCACCATTAATTATTCCTTCATCATCAGTACCATTAAAAAATGAAGATATTCGTTTATGTAGTATTTATCGAGCTGATGCTAGTGATACATTTGGTATTGAACTTAATTATCATCGTCGAGAACAATTTCATTCATTAAGTATTGTATCTGGTCGAAATAATGAACCATCAAGTAAGATTTTTCAATATACATGATGATTCTTTTTTTTTTTTTTATTGAAATTTGTTTTCTTTTTCTTCTTTTTACTATTCTTTCTTATCTTGATCATTAATTATTTTTGAATAACATCAAAATAATTTTTATCATTTGTTTCAAATAGATTGTTTTAAATCTTTGTAGACTAGAATTATATAAATCACGAACTCTTGAGAATTAGTAATTTTTTTTTTTTCGAAAAGAAAGAGAACGATCGGTCAAAAAACGTCTGCTTGAAATCATAAGTCAATTCTTATCAGTGTAGAAAGGTTAAGAACATGTTTAGATGTTCGAGTGCAAAATAGAAAAAGCAATCTAATCAAATGAGTACTTGATAAAACAAAAAAGACATGAATCTCATCTAAAATATTTCTTATTGGTTAAGATCTGATTTTCAGTAATAAGCATTTGGATATAAACTATTAAATATCAAAAATGAATGTACTTAAATTCTTTTGTAAATAAAACATGTCAAAAATAAAGCATTTCAAATAAAGAACTTTTAATTCATTTTTTTTTTTTTTGTTTATATTAAGTTCAATTTTTTATAAGAAGTTAATATTCAATATAAACATTTTGAATTCCATGAAAATACAAAATAAGATATAATAAAATTAAATTAAAAGTCAAGATTTTGCTCTTATAAAATCAATTCTTTCAGATATTTTCTTATTTTAAAACGATAATGTTCATTGTTTTTTTTTTAATTTAATTTATTATATATAGATGCTGAACTTGCTGGTATAAAAACGGATGATCGTTTAATTGAAATCAATGGTCAAAATATTCAAAATCTTAGTCATGAGCAAATAACACAACGTATACGTGCTGTTAAACATCCTGATCCATTAGAAGTTTTAGTAGCTGATGTTCCAACATTTGTATATTATAAACAACAACAAAAACTTATTCATCGTAATTTACCAAATGTTAAAATTATGCCAGCTAATAGACCAATACGTTCACCATCACCAACTGCTTCATCACATCGATGTATGTACTAATAAAAAAAATCGTTTATTCGATTTATCACATTAATTGAAAAATATATATATATATATGTTTTTTTATTTTAGCAATTGATATGAGACCACCATCGACTACGTCACGTGAACCACCTAGAATTCAACCAACACCACCAGTTTTAAATACTTTTGGTCGGGCACCAACAACATCTGTTTTAGGAGAATTAACTAATAGTACTGTTGTAGCACCTGTACCTTCATCATTTTCAACAACAACATCATTACAACCACGTCATATTCCAATACGAAAAGATGCTCAATTATCAAATGGTGTTGGTTTTAATTTTCGTACAGTAACAAATGATGCATCATCAAATACACCATATAGTCATATGGTTACATCAGTTGATAATACAAATTCAATTGGTTCACAAGGTCTTCGTGTAAATGATTATATATTATCAATAAATGATGAAAATGTTGAATATTTAAATCATGAACAACTTGAAGATAAATTACGTCGAATAAATAATAGTGAAACAGTACGTTTCTTAGTTACAGATGGAAATGTTTATCGTGCATATAAGCAAAGTTCACAAAATTTAAAAACAAACTATGATCTTATTGAAAAACCAAAAATACAATCATCAAATACAAATTTACAACAAATACGAAGACAATATCGTCTTCAACGTAATCCAGATTTTGAAGGTTATGGTTTTCGTGTACGTTCAAATCATCAAATAGATGGTACACCACATCAAATTGTTTCTGTTGAACCATATTCACCCGCTGATACACAAGGTCTTCGTGTTGGAGATTATATTTTACGTGTTAATAATCAAACAGTTGAACATATGAGTCCATCTGAATTTACATCTTTAATGCAAAATTTAGTAAGAAATGATAATTTACGTGATGCAGCTTTATTATTAGAAGTTATGGATGAAGATACATATCGATCAATAAATAATTTACCTCCAGTATCACAACAATATCCACCACCACCTATGGATACTTTAACAACTGATCGTCGAACACCAACACGTTCACCTTATGATTCATATCCACAATCGACAGCTATGGATGAGCCTTATCCTAAAATGCGACAATGTTTTATTCGAGTAAGAAATTTTTCTATTTTCTTTTCTTTTTAATTTTGTTTTTTTTTCGTAATTTAGCCTTGGCCAAATTATCGAGATCTTGGTTTTACTATTATTCAAACACCAAATGCACCTGATGGAGGATATCAAATACAACAACTTCGATTAGATTCACCAGCTGCACATACACATATTCGTAATAGTGATCATTTAATTCAAGTAAATAATATTAATGTTGAAACAACTGATTTTCCATATGTTCAACAACTTATTCATGATTCATATCGTCGAGATGGTGAAGTTAGTTTACTTGTTATTGATGATGTGGGTTATCAATGGTATAAACGTAATCATTTTCGTATTGATCCATTATCTCAAAGAGCTAATGTCACACGGTAAATAAAATTTAAAAAAAAAAAAAAACTCAATCTATTTATAAACTCTTTTTATCAAAGACGGTCCAAAAGGAATATTGAAATATAGGAACAAAAATTTGGACCACTCATAGACTGTCAGAAAACCGTACCGTAGAGATTTGGTTGACAAATTTTTCTTTTTTCATTTCTAGTCACATTACACCTGAACATCAAGCTGTATATACATCAACTGATTCAAGTGTTATATCACCACCAATGCAGTATACACCTGTTGAGCAAATGCCTATTCAAAAAGAAATTCAAATTCCACCAACACCATATCAACCACCGATAACAACAACAAGTCGACCACCATCCGTCGGACCATCAAGTCGACCATATCCATATACAAGTAAAATTTGAAAATATTTATCTAAAACAAAAATATGATATTTTGCAAATTGTTTTTTGTTTTCAAGATGGTTATGTATCACCAACACGGGATTCATATTATCGACCAACAGTAGCACCAAGTTTGTCATCATCTTTAAATCGTCCACGTTTGCCATTATCACGTGCTGCTGTTGATGTTGTTGATGAAAAATCAATGTTACGTTTCTGTCGTTTAAATACCGAACCCGGTCAAACGTTTGGTTTTGAATTAGCACAAGAAGATAATAAACATATTATTCGTAATGTTAAACCAGAGTCACCAGCTGGTAAAAATATTTTTAATTTAAATATATGTTTTTTTTTTTTTTTCTTTTCTCTATTATATATCTTTTATTTAGCTCGAGCTGGTTTACATAATGAAGATCGTTTAATTGAAGTAAATGATGAAAATGTTACTCATAAATCACATCGAGGTATTGAAAAAAAAGAGCGAAATTCATCATCCAGTTTTTCTTTAAATTTTCTCTTTTCTTTGTTTTTTTCTTTTGTAGATGTTGTTGCTTTAATAAAAAATGCTAGTAATAATGGTGTTGCACGTTTACTTATATCACCAAGTAACATCAAACCATTAAATAAACCTTCATCAAAAACATCAGCTAAAACAAAATCATTACCATCATTGAATGATGAACGTATGTATGGTGATGGTAAAAATTTTGATCAATATACAACTTGGTCACCATATGATGGTTCATTTGGTGGTCAACAACAACCACCAACAATGGTTAAATATTTATCAACATCACGTCTTGATCAATCTGGTTTATCACCACCACTTCATTCAGAACGACCATATAGTGCTCATGGTTTTGATACATATCAACGACAACCATTTCGAACAACACAATTTACTAGTCAATCATATTTACCTACCGATCCATGGCCTCGTAAGAATATTATTTCCTATGTTTTCAGGAATTCTAATATGAGGAATCTCACTTTCTTCGTCAATGATTGACAGAAGTCTACTGAACTATCACTAATTGCTGTAGAACAGTATGAATGTATTATTATATGTAACGGCTATGCCAAACTTTATGAAAATGTATTTTGAGGATTGCACTCACAAGCCTAGTTGATAAAAAATTTTCTAGTCAATACCAAAGTTATGTACAAATTAACGAAAGTGCATGGAGTGTACTGCAGAAAATCCTGTGGGCATTCGCCAGTAACAAAAGTCCCGTTTGCGAACTTCCCATTAACCAAACAAAAAAAAGTAGAACTCGTCGGGTTCAAAATTTTCGAATTCTGGATTTGGACTCGATTGAACAGTACTTTGATATTCTCAATGAAATTTTCCAATAGGCATTGGATAGTCGTCCCAAATATACGAGATATTTTTGAGAAAGACGAAAATATTAGTTTTAATTCTAGTCTTAAAACAAAAGAATCCAATTTCTTATATCTCTTCGGGTGTTTAATTGAAATTGTTAAGGAAACGTATAATACAATGATTATGAATTTCAGATTTTTACATTGAATAAAACATTCTACTAGCACCATACTGTTATTAATAATTGCCAGAAATTATATCAATCTGAAGAATATATTTCATTATTTAATCTTTTATTTTTTTCTTTTAGGAAAATGTATTCTTATTCGTGATCCAGGTTTTCATGGATGTGGTTTTCGAATGATTGAAAAAGAAAATTATGATACACCAATGGTTATTGAAGTACGTTCGAATAGTCCAGCTAAACGAAGGTATAAATTTTATTTTCAAAGATATTTATTCTTAATAATAATAAAAAAATCTTTCTTTTAATAATTTAGTGGTTTAATTGAAGGTGATCATATAATTTATATTGAAAATCGTAATGTTCAAGCTGTACGATCATTTGATGAAATGACACTTTTAATTCAACGAACATTTGAAGAAACAGGCCAAGTTACACTTGTTACATTAACAGCTCCAGCTTATCAAGTATTAAAACGTAAAGGTGGTTATTTACAACCAGATCCATTTGATTATCAATTACCCTATGTACGAGAATTAGCACCACGTTTATGTCGAATTGTTTTATATAATCATGAACAAGATTTTGGCTTTACATTACAACGTGGTAATCCAATAAATATTAAAGATGTTCATCCAGGTTCACCAGCATATGAATATGGTTTACGAGCAAATGATAAAATCATTGAATTAAATGGTCGTGATACGGCAACATTATCATCAGAACAAATCATTGAAATAATTGAAACAAGTAAACGACGACGACAATTAGATATATTAGTTATTGATTCAGCTGGTTTCGAATTTTCAATAAAACATGCTATACCAATTAATTCACTTTTACCATTTGTTCAACCAGGACAAAGACGAGGTAAAGTATTTATTTAATAGAGAAAACAAACTTTATTCAAATTTTGATTTATCTATCTATCTCACATTGCTCAGTTATCAATCATGAGCAATATTTTCAACATTATCCAAGCAGATTTGGTTTGACTGAGCACAGTCTTTATTAATTTCAGTGAGTGCGTGGGTACAGATATAACCATTGCACATACTCCTTTCACTTTGTTGCATGATATATGCACATTTATTTATCACTAAACATGGGGAATCGGTTTCTTTAATATATTTATTTTTTTAAATTTTTAGCTGTAAGCAGTCGACGTGCTCAACAGGAAGCTGTTTATTTATAAATATTGAAAAAAAAATATATAATAAAAGATCAATGAACGTTGATGTTTTCTTCAAAAAACAAACTTGTTATTTTGTATTTTGTTATGTATACATGAGAATTTTTTCTTTTTCTAATATTGAACAGTTTTTTTTTTAAATAATTCTTCCATTGATCAAAATTTATATTCATTCTTATTATTAATGTCTTCTTTTTTTCTCTCTCTCATTGTAGTAGTATTAGTTCGTTTGTATGTGCGCTCGGTGACTACTTGCTCTTTATGTTTTCGTTTCGTTTTCTTTTTCGTATTGTTATTGTTCATTTTGTGCAAGTCTCTACCTCTTTTAGTTTTAACATATGGCAATCATTGATTGATTGAAATATGCAACATTCGATTATATGTTGTGAATTATTTGATTCCCTGAAAAACTATACAAATCAAAACTTGGTAGCATGCTGTGTGCGTGTGTATTATTCGCTATTTATTGTTATTATTCTTATTATTCATATTATATTGACAGTATTTGTTCACATGTCTTTTTGTGATTTTCCACTATTTGTTTCTTTCGCTATAATTATTGCTCTGCACTACTGTCTCTTTTTTTTTTCTTTCTCTTTTTGTACTATTTGGATACTTTATTGTGCGTTCATATATACATTCCAAGTTCTTTTTTGTTGACACTCCAGGTTTTTTTTTTAATATGAATGAGTTTCACCTATTGGACTCCTTTTGTTTTTTGGAATTAGGTAAAAAAACAATGATCAAGTTTTTTCTTTTTCTTTATGAAAGTTGAATTTTCTTATTCATATGGCATGCAGATTAAATTCTATGAAAATATTAATGATAGAATATTTACTTGTGAGAATTACAAAATGGTTCAAAGAATTATATGTGAATTATAATATAATCTGTAACTTAAAGTTTTTCAACGTATCCCAAAAGACAAAAATATTTTTCATCTCACTGTCAATTGTTTATTGTCAATATGAAACCTTAGATTATTGAAGTGGTATAGTATTTCTCAAATATTTGAAGAGCTTCATAGGATTATATTTGCAACAATTTTTTAAATTTAACAAAATAAGAGAGAAAATCGCTACTAAAGTTATAAGCGGTGAAAGTTTTTGAAGCACTTGACACGATCTACTGTAGTACGAAATAGAACAAGCCACGTAGCTAAGTCAGTATGGTGTGGGTGTGTGGACTTTCGGATGAAGGTATCAAGATAAGATTTACTACGATGCCCTTGCCTCAATATTCTGAATCCTGGAGATAAACATCGGTCTTTTATCATCGTACATATAAAAGCTTCTCATGAATGAGGAGAGAGAGCTGACTTTGTCTTTACTCCAAATAAATACTGTTGAAGGTTTTTGCAAAGTCACCGATTAATTCTATCTATCCAAAATGATTCCTCTATGTTCGTGTGTGATAGTACAAAAAGAATGCAGTACTTCTGAGAAGTAATGGATCTACATCAACATTTGTAATAGCACGTTTAAGAAATTTCACTTTGACCTCCAGTCTCGAAGACAATATTTAATTCTCGAACTATTATAAATAATTAAAAACATCACTTTGTAAAGCTCAATCTAGTGTTGACGCTGATATATGGTTTTGATACTGCATTTAATGACAATATAATCTAATTCAATATGCTAATCGAAAACAACAATGAGATTTAATAGGCATTATCTTTAGATACTATTCACAGCATAAAGTTGACATTTAGTCAAGGAAAAATAAGTAACTTTTAGTTCGCAAAATTTGTGTTAAAGCAAAGGAAATGATTGGAGGAATCTAGCAATATTGTACGAAATAAGATTACTTTTGATGATATCACAGCTATAAGGAGAATTAATATTGAAATTAGAGTGTCATTATATGTTGTTTATATACACAAGCAGTGTTGAACATTTTCTTGTACATTGATAGAAAACTCTAACTCGGTACTTCATCTGCGAGTTTCTGTTAAAAATGCTCCATAATTTCACTTGCTTTTCCTTTTTTTACTCATTTTGTGGTATAGATATACAACGTATGTTACATGACAAGAAAAATATAAGTTGTAGTTATTTATCATTTATGTAAATGTTTTTTCGTTCCGTCGTTCAATAAAAATAATGAACAAATATTTCTACCTTTTGTATGCATATCAACGATTATTGATGGTAAATATAGGAGTGAAAAATGAAGTAATATACGTATACATTACATGTATTTTCAAAAGATCCAACACATTTCATTCTACAAGAATCTTTGTGTATCATCATTGTAAAATTTGTTTGTTTATTTCTATAAGACAACAGTGAAACAACAGTTTTTTTTTCTCTACATTTCGTTTTACAATCAGCTAAAAATTCTCTATAAGGTTGATGTCTAACGTATGAACTGAGCACTATATTATTATTAGTGAATTACTTAGAAATTCAATAAACATATCTTGAATTATCTGTCTGATAAAAATATCATTTTTGATAAAATAATCTCTTCTATTTGTGTCTTAATTCTTATAACAAACAAACATACTTTTCAAGTATATCATTATAATAAGAGCTATATATCTGAATGTATGATAGACACGATATGCACTTGTTATAAATAACCTTTGATGGATGAACTTCAAATACATATACTCAATTCCAACAATCCCACTAAAATATCTTATACGATTCATGTATGGTTTTCCAGAGTTTCTCACGACATTGCATACTTGATTTTCTTCTGTTTTTGACCTCTATCATCTTGTTTTCTTAAGAAAGTCCTTGATATTTACTTGCACATGTATATTTATTTATAAAATGAATTATAAAAACTAAAGAAAAACAAAAATATGCGCTTAAGAAACATTACAAAGAATATTTTATTGAATTTGATCATTGAAATAAACTAAAAAAACATGCTAGTCACAGAGCCAGAATCAGTCCCAGCTATGGGATAAGTTTTTATTATAGATGGTGCTGCGAAAACTTCTATTAATAAAATATATATTCTGAAACTGTATTCTTCTCGGTTAATTTGAATTTCGATAGAAAATACTTCTCACAGTTATTTGTAGCTGGAACCCAAAGTCGTAAGAGCTACTATTGGTAAATCGTCCATATATCGATGGTAGTGTGAACAAATGTGCGATATGGGATCTTATAACTACGTAGATAATTATTAAATGTTACAGTAAGATGCTTGTGCAATTTCGTAAGATTCTTTCACCTGAGTATTCATCTTTTTGCTTAAATCAAGGATAATAACAAATATTCCTCAATAAAATATCTATTTTATGATTAAAAAATATCAAATGTTTATTTAGCTCGTCTTAAAAAGAAGATAATTTAAGAAAATAATTATTTATTGAATTTGCAACTATTTCTTGTCTGTTTTTTATCTTGAATCGAATTTTCTAGGCGATCTGTGTTACGATATCTAATAGATAAGTATATATAAAATATTTCGATGTTATTTGAACCCGATAAAAACCAGTGATAGTTTGTTACTTAAACGGTTGGCTATTCTCTGACCACCATTCAACCGTGGTATATCGGTGGTAGTTCAAATGAAGGTACGACATAGGTTATTGATAAGAAAATTTAAACTAGGATTTCAAATTTGTTCCTTATCTCGTATCGTCCAATGTTACAAAAGGTTATCAAGGATGAAAGTCTAATCTTTGTAAAAGTTGATGAATTGCTCTTTCTCTGCTTAAATGTCATGAAACGACGTATTCCTTTACAGATAAGATCTGTTATTTTAAAAAACTTATCTTTGTCAGATTTGATGTAAGTCTAGTGGTGACATGTAAATGAGTTCACTAATGCTATGACGTTTGTTCTAGAAATGAAAATGACAGAAATACTTCGGGTCAGTTAATAGGATTTCGTGAGATTCAGGAATGTCTCTCTAGTATGCTGTAGAAAACTTTTACAAATGTTATGTGAAGTTTTAAGTCGTTCTGCAACGGATCCTGAAACGTACTAAAATGAGTTTCCGAGCAAAAATGATTCACTTTTACTAGCATTATTTGCTTCGGACAAAACTAAAAAAGATCGTGCAACTTGGTGTAGATTTTAAGAAGGAGAAAATTTAAAAAATATGAAACAATTCATTTTACATCCTCGAATAAAAGTCTTTTCCCTTTTTGTCTTTTTATGCTGTTATACTTCACATCAAGTTTATAACTGAGTAAAGGTATGACATAAGAGCTTTTGTTGTAATGTGATCTATACATTAAAATGAAGTTAAAACTTTCATATCATATCTCTATTCAGTAATAAATTTAATGTAAAGTTTCACAGTATAAAAGGATAAAGACCGGAAAAAGTTTTGTTCGGGATGCACATCTTACAAGGAAATCCATACACGATTTTTTCATACATTTAATATTTATCTATTCGAAACTTGGTGGACTAGAAACATGAATAGTCAATGTATAAAAATTGACAACAAATTTTGACGGAATGTTACATTTTGAGACATTATATCTCAGCAAGGATTTAAACACGTATTTTTGCACATTCACTGAAGATAGATGATGACATGCTCTACCGAATAAAAAATTAAAACTTGAAATAAAGTTCCGGAAAAATAGCTGCATTATTGACCAGTGCTTATTTTTTACTTTACTGGCATGATTTTAAGTTTTTGATCTTATTATGGTCTAAAAAATTTCAAGAAGTCCCAACGATCTGCGGTATATAGTAAATACATGATACTGTTTAACTATGTAACAACTAATGAATAGAACTGGATCCATAATTTAAAACATATATTTTACTTATATGATCGTATTAATCATATTTACCTAGTTTACGTACTTTGGAGTACCTGTTGCTTAACAGAAACTGACTATAAAGCAGCATCCATAATGTACTTAAATGCAGCACCATAGCAGCTTCAATGTTAGCTATGATATAGGTTCAAATCTTGAAAATCGGTTTTGTCGTCTGACTGTCCAGTATGGTTCCCTTCCCAATATTGGTGACGTCGGAAATTCCCTGACCCGAGAAAATTTATCGAAACTTCGACTACTGGAAGAAATGAACCATAGTTGTAAGGAAAGTTTCGAGTGCTACAGTAGAAGCAAGCTTCAAACAGAGACAGTTGCGACTGCTGACGCTAAATTTCGATTACTTCAGACTTCCCAGAAAGTGATTTTGAAATGTTTTTTTTATTTGACTATTTTACCCAAACTATTTAGGGTGTGAGTGTCGGTGTGGTTGGATATGTAGAAGCTACCACGATGTGTTTCGACTCTGCTTAAGAAGTCTCATCAGGTGGCTTAATGTGAGCGTGAGTGTCAATGTGAAACTACCCACACCCTCAAAATAGATAGTATTCACGGCCGATTTAGGTAAAAGTCAGATCGACCAGAATCGGCATCTATATTGAGAATTTGTTCCTATTATTCAATAGTTGATTCTTCCTTTCTCATGTTTGGCGTTGCTCTTATATACTGTTTTCAATGGTAGATTTATGATCTCTGTCACATCTTTAACGACATAATCCTCATGTCATTTGTAAAGAAACTGTCAAGAGCATGAAATATTTTTTTTTGTTCAAATATAAGAGTGCAGACTAAGATGTGGGCAATGGTCTGAAATTTCATTCGTCTCACTATCCACACACCCACACCTGTTCCTAGGAACGGAACGAATAAGTGACACCTCTATTTCCTTCTGCATTAGTTGCAGTCTCTGAGCAGAATTGCAAAGTAGAAAAAAGAGTGTGGGTGTGAGTGTTAGATTTAGCACTGTCTTTAGCCACAGTCATAGTCACACCATTGATCATCGAATTGGCAACTTGCTAGATGAACAGTTACTTGAATAACTTTGTTATACTATTAATGAGCATGTAAAATAATTGTTTGTCTCTTTCTCAACGCATAAGATTATTTTTATTGTGAATGAAAAACGAGAAGATGATCTAGAGTAATGTATCATGAAATGGTTTCACAACTAAAACTGAACCATAGGGTTTTTCTTCAGATAATCACAGCCGTGTTTATAGTGCATGATCAAATGACTGATAGCAATCGACGTGTAGACGTAAAATTCATGCATCAATATGATAGCGTTCACCTAATAATCATTAGTCTTTCCGTACGTTAATCTTTCTTGTATTTATTAGTTGCCGATCGACTGTTGATTCAACCAAATGATTCGAATGAGGTTCATCAATAGATAGTATTTAGTTTTATTGATTTTATGTTGCTTTCTGTAGATAATTTAATTATTTTTTTTTAGCCAAAAGATGTCTACATTGTATCTGATCTTTACGTGGTAGCGTAAACAAATGCATAGTTTGGCGAAGCAGTTGTCAAGCAAAAGATGCATGTTTACTTGCATCCATCAGTCATCGCAGTGAATGTATGCTGAAAGGAAAAAAGTGCATCAAAAGCATTCAAACAAGTAAATCTCTTGAAGTTATTTTTGTCGATTGAAAGACAACGAAACATCAGGTATTGGTTAGTTGTTGACATATGTAATTCGTGACAGTAGTTCTCTGATAACGTTAGCGTTCGCATTGTAAATTGAAGTGAACAAAAATATTTTCCATTAAAAATAGTAACTTACAGTTAGCCAAGAGAAATGAGTTATTTTTATCGAACTTGGTTCAAAAAGAAAGTTGAATCTGCAACATAGTTTAGTTAACGATTGTGATTCATTTGGATGCGACATTTCTTAATGATGTTATGGTATTCAAAATTTTAATTAGAATATGTTTAGATCAATCATGCAACCAGCAGCAACAAAAGAAGAACGAAGACATGACAGTCATCCCCAAAACTGGTAAAAATCATACAGATGAAACGATTCATATCGATGAAAAACCCAGATATATTAGTTCCTACGAAATTAAACGAAAAAATCTCACCACATTTACCCTTATTTGATATTTTGATATTGATAGTCTTTTAAAAGAAAAACATCAAGATGTACTAATAAAATTACGATAATCAATTAATTTCATTATCACAATCGGCAATGTAGAAGAATGTGAAAAGTTTATTCAACAAGTAAACTATGAGAAAATTGCTCTCATTATATCTGATATGATGCATCAAGATGTTTTGTATAAAATATATGATTTACAACAAGTTATTGTGATTTATATTTATGACGAGAACAAAGAGTTAGAGAATGATTTATCATTTCAAAATTATGAAATAGTAAGCGATTGCTTATAAAAATAATGTTGACTAATTAATTATCATAGTAGTAGTCTGTTTTATTTTTTGTGAAACACGATCTAAACTGAGTGTTGACATATATAGGAATAGAAATTTGAGACATCACCCTCCCCCCACTTCCTTACTCGCAGTATGTAACAGACGACCTCCAAAGACCCTCACAGACAGGGACAGACGTTGTTGATATTTATTGGAATACAGTGTATCACTACCATCTCACTAGAATATATGAATTATATCCTTTTTTGCAGTTCTAGAAAATTAAGTAAACGATGATGGAGAAGTATGTCCCACAATAGATCAAATAAAACAACTTGTATGTGATTAACAACAACAGTTACATCGTGTTTCACATTTTAATCCCACAAAGACTACGCTAACAGCTTTTTCTTCTAGATAAAACTATTTTCACTGATTCTAATGAATTAATTTTTAAAATTTCTCAAGATCAAATAAAGCGCGAAAGAAACGAACGTACAATAGCAACTACTTTTTTTTTTATCTTCTATGAATTTGAATGTACTAAAATTTCTCAATTCAAAAGATGTTATAAATCATCAGATGCAATTATGTGGTACACTAAAGAACCATTTATTTAGCAAATATTAAATAAAGCATTACGTATACAACATATAGATACAGTATATATATTTCAGTTTCTTCTTCGTGATCTCAACGAACAAATACAAGAAGAACAACTTAAATATTGTATTAAATTAGAACAACAACAATGAAGTTCATCGTTAGATAAAATTATTCATTCATATAGAGGACAAGTTATATCGATTGAAGAACTTTAAAAATTTCAATCTATTGTAGGACAATATATATATTAATTAATCATTTTTTCTCTACTAGTAAAAATAAACAAGTTGGAATTGTATTCGCTCAATCTAATGACAATAACAATTCATCTCAGATACCAATTTTATTTATAATTGAATCAGATATTGACTCACTTTCACTTGCAACACCATTTGCGGATATACATCATCGGAGCCAATTCGATGATGAAGAAGAAGTTTTATTTATGATTGGTGCTATATTTCATATAGTAGCTGTACAAGTAGATGATAATATCGATGATCTATGGACAATAAAATTGGTTTTATGTAATGAACGAAGTAATGAATTATTTGAAGTACTTGAAGAATTAAGACAGAAATTATTACCAGAAAAGACCAATTGTATGTCTGTTGGAGATATTTTAATGGAAATGGAGTTATTTGATAAAGCTGAAGAATATTTTCAATGATGTTTGAAGTCATCCCTGACAGAAAATGCACAAAACCACAATTTGATCTATAAGAAAGTAGCAATACTTGCTGAAATGAAAGGAGACCGTAACTTAGCAGAGATTCATTGAAAAATAGCTATGGATTTGCTTATCAGTGCTACTTGACACTTAGAGAGCTCTAAAGTTGATATTTTGCACAAGTTAAATGATCATATATTTGATAAGAGCAAGTTCTTCGACGTTGACCAATTATTTTCACATTTTCAAGCTCTCTTCTTCAAAGATTTAGCTACTTTTCGAAATGATCATTTATGTACGGCAAAAAATCATGAAAATTTAAGTGTTCTTTTACAAATGCAAGGAAAAGTTGAACAAGCACTTGAAAATTACTGTAAGTATTTAAATATTGAGTTAAAGTTATTACCTAAGAATCATCGAAAATTGACTAAAACACATGAAGTCATTGGAGATTTGCATCTATTAACAAATGATCAATATCAAGCATTAATATCCTATCAAAATGCAACAAAACTAAAATTCAAAATCTCGTCCAGATAATCATATTGAAATTGCTGAACTATATAGAAAAATTACTGCTATTTATGAGGATTATCTACGAAATTATGAATCAGCATTAGAAAACTATAATATTGCTTCGATGATATATTTGAAAGTATTTCCATCGGTGCATTCAAAAGTTCTAGAAATGAAGGATAGTATTAAAAAAATTATTGAAAAACGGAGTCTAACCAAGAGCGAATAGCAAAAGTTATATATCACTATGTACTTTGTTGATTATGATGAACTGAGATATTCGCACGTCATAGTTTTCTGTCATTTTTCTTGCATTGAAATAAACTTTCGGAGCTAAATAAATTTTAAAATGAGCAGTTAAAATGGTTCTTCAAATCTTATGAGAAGACAGTATAGCAAGTTTCATACCTTGAAATGGATCGCCCAGTCCATAGAGATTGTTCTTCCAAGCCGTCTCATACGAACTTTATTTCTTTTTTCAAGATTATTTTTCACGTAAGAAAAAAGAAATAAAACTGTATGAGTTTAATCGATTTACAAAGCGATAGCCGTAACACAGTTTGTCTTCGGACTCCTACTTCAACAAATCACCAGCATCACGCTGGATTAGACTTTGACATGTACCTCGCGTTGAGATGTTATATCAATTAATACTTACTGATGTAAGAAAAGATGTCGGTAACGCAAATTACAGTCGATCAAAAGAATATGGATGAAAATAGATGAGACAACAACTCACATCCATTCAGTCAAACGTGAAGTCTTCAACAACACATGTAGTTGCAGAAAATTTTCAGAAACTTGAGTTAATCTTCAAGATACTTTTTGCATCCGGTCGACCTCACGCACGAGTATGTAACCTGTCTGAAATACCAGCAACCGTCGTGCATAAATGCAAAACAGTAGCACATGTATATGCGTTTGTTTGACAACCATACGCATGCAACAATAATTCTTACTACTATTTAGGCAAAATATGCTAGATCATTCATGGTTCTTATCCTGACAAGTACTTGCGTGTAATATTTTCATGTGCTCATGCAAGATATGTGACTCTGGATGTATTGACAAAAACTATCACTAAAGCGGTTTTCCATTGACAGATAAATTTAAACTATTTTAAAGTGCACATGTTGGTTCATGCAGCAGTTAAGCATTGTATTCGGCGTATACTTTAGAATGAGATCAATTTTCTATAGAAGGAAACCGTATTGATTAAAAAACCTTATTCACTTTAAAAAAGCTTGTTAGTGCAGCCCCTTTAGGGCTGAAATGTGGAACTTCCATATACTCTCTAGCCACATTAAACTAATCTAAAAAATGTAACATGAAAAATCTCTCGTCCACTATACTCGTTTTGCAGGATGATCAAGCACTAAAGTAAAAACTTCTCCAATTTCTACATTTCGAACATTTTTGTTTTTATTTTTTTCTACGGGCGCCCTATTTTTTGTCTTCATTGTTGGTATTCTCTCATTATTTTTCGTTTTATTAAATTCGTTTTTCTTAATTTATCATTCTTATTATTATAATAATTGAATAAATTGACAAAAAAGTGTGCTTTACACAAGGGCGAATCGGCGGATTCCCGGGATACCGAATCCCATGGAAATCCTGGGAATCTCATGGGAATCTTGGAATCCCGGAAATCCGATGGGAATCTTGGGAATCCAATGGAAATCCCAGAAATACTTAAATTAGATGTCTGAAGAACACTGAAATTATAACTCATGCTCATGCATAACAAATATTACTTCTTTCATTTAATATTTTGAAAGCCATTCCTTTAAGAGAAACATGTAGAGGCATGGAAAATAAGAATGTGGATGTGAATGTGAATGTATCGTAAGAATGGAAGGAAGATGTAGATTCCCACCCTCATCTATATCTTTAACTGAACATTCTAGGCTATAGAATCGACCGTTTTCTAGCGAAATAACATGAGCCAAATCGTAAAATCTACTACGATTATTTATATGTTTCAAATAGGTGAGAAATCTCAAACACTTTGCACAATAACGCTCATATTGAGTCATAGAAGGGTGAATTGTACTATAACTTAAAATTCGACATAAAATATATAGCTACAATTCAACTGAGGGACTAGCTCCGAAGACAAACTCACGGCCTTTTCATTTTATCCAATACTTAATAAGTCGTAGTCTTGCGGTCAACACTATTCTTCCTACATGGATCAATAATGATCTACCTGTAAATATTAATACAAAAAGAAAATAAGTAAATAATCTACCGACTTTTTACCGAATGATTGGAGCGATATATTAACCGATTAGCTAATATTAGTTCACTATCCAGCGCATTCAATAAAATAGACATGACTAATGAGGAAACGTAACAGATTAGTTCCAATCGATGTTACTTTAGTTTTTGCTGCCATTCCATGAACGAAAAAAAATGAACCAGAAGAACTTTTTTGTGTTTTTAATATTGATGCATATCTCATGAGAAAATTTGTCTAAACTTACAATGGAGACTGTTTGTCATGTCAGCTGAATTATTCAACTATATTCGAGTCGAATGATAGATCTCAACGAGAAAATATCAAATTAAGACTATGAGCTGCTGATAACTAGCCTATATTGAGTTATTCAAATGTTAAGATATTGACAATTTAGGTATATTGAAACCAGTATAAAGCAACCACAACCTATTCTCACAGAAACTGGTCGATCCAGCTTATCAGGCTTTGCTTAAATTTGATGTATATTGTATAGCGGAATCTTTAAAAATAGAGAGATTATAGAGAACACATTCAACGATAGAAAAACTTAGCTTCCTAGATAGTTCCTATTGTCCAGAAGACCTTTCATAAAATAATGAGTTTGGTCAACGACTTGAGAAGCATTATTGAAAACTACCGAATAATCACTATTTCACCATGTAGCTACTAGTATGATCAACTTAAATAATCACTCATGTGCGCTCATCTTTGTGTGATAAATACATCAAATTGAGATGCATATACAGTAGAGTTTCAAGCGAAATCAATTCATTATTTTGTAAGAAAAGATTATAACAGAAATTTCACAAACAATGTACTTGTTTTTCCGATGGTACTCTCAGAAAAGTTTAAATATCTCTAGAGCAGAACAATATTTTTCCAAATAGTTTGCTTCAAAACTCTTAAAACTGTGCTCTCTACAACATACATGCAATTTGAGCAAAATCTGATAAGTTCGATCGACGAGTTTCTGTGATAATGGGTTGTTGTTACTTTAGACTGGTTCCAATATACTTAAATTGTCAATATCTTAACATTTGAATAACTCAATCTAGGCTAGTCACCAGCAGCTCATACTTTTAATTTGGTATTTTCTCGTTGAGAGTTATAAATTGATCCGAATTTAGTTGAATAATTCAACTGGCATGCCAAACAATTTCATTGTTAGTGATGACTGGGTTGTTTTTTTTCTGTGGAAGAATAAATATCACTCAACCCTCACAATTCAAGCAAGGCTTGGAGGTACCCACTGAGTCTTCGAGAAAAAGCAGANCTAGGCTAGTCACCAGCAGCTCATACTTTTAATTTGGTATTTTCTCGTTGAGAGTTATAAATTGATCCGAATTTAGTTGAATAATTCAACTGGCATGCCAAACAATTTCATTGTTAGTGATGACTGGGTTGTTTTTTTTCTGTGGAAGAATAAATATCACTCAACCCTCACAATTCAAGCAAGGCTTGGAGGTACCCACTGAGTCTTCGAGAAAAAGCAGACACCGAGAAAACAACAAGAAAGGAAATGCGGAACTCGATGACAGTATTGAATATTCGAGCAAAATTCAGGCAATCCAGTGCATGTGAAATCTGTTTTCTTCCTGTTTAAATGCCGTGAGTTCAACTTTTCATGAAAAATTTCAAAAATATAACGAAAGACAAGAAAAGTACGGCTTTAAAGCAATCAGCTTCAAAATTATCTCATGGTCTTCTCCTTTATGATAATTTTAAAACGACTATTCCTCAAGTTTATAATCTAGCCTATAACCTTCTTTCCAGATTTGATGTTAATTTTGCTTGGAAGAAAACAAGAGAATCTGCAATGAAACAAAGTAGATCGTTTGTAGTAGTTTAGTGTGCAAAACAAGCTGCATCGTCTAATCTAACGAAAATAGTTACAACTCATTGGAGCAAGAGTCAAGCTAGTACTTCAGATCTTATGTTCCTTTTTTTATCCAAATCAAAGAAATATAACTGATGCTAAGACCAAATTCGTAACTGTTTTCTTTGTAAGCTAGCAATAAGTCTCGATTCAATGCAATAAGAATCTTCGAGCCAGTATCTCCTTAAGTGTCAAACTCTTTTTCGCTTGTGTCAAAATTGATGCCAAAAATAATGTAGCCATAGATACAGAGTCTATTGTCTTTTAGTAGACAGGAGGGCTGTGCTGCTACCTTATTGTTTTAAGCATGTTCAATTGTCAGATTATTGAACGAATAAAAGACTCCACATCAGATGCCACAGATTCATTTAATTCAACATTTTTCTTGTATTACTCATTAATTTATCTTGTTCCTTGCTGCTGTTTATTATTCTACCTCGAACATTTTCCCATAAAATTAGAAAGTAAATTGTTATGTTGTTCAAATGGAATTGATATCAATCTAAAGAGGTTAATTGTATAGAATTCTCAAAACACATAACCCTAGCGAACTATCTGAAACTATGCGAATAAAACACATGAGCATCTGGAGCAAGAACATCATGCGCTATAGACACAGCTTGAGAACTGCGCATTTCATGCGTATAAAAAAAAACTTCTAGATAAAAAAAAGTAGTTTCGAGTTTCAATCACTTTCCAGATCGAACATTCTTCACTTGAGAATAAGTTCCACTTGTGAAAATATAACTACTGCTTTTAATGACTGTTTTAATGAAACTTATTCTTCCATGCGTGTGGCTTTCTTGAGATTCTTGAACAAGAAAGTGAAGCGCTTTAGACAAAGCTTGAGACCTACGCAGGTCAAATATAAGAAAAAAAGACCGACTAGGGTAATGCTTTTAATTATTTCCTAGGTGAACTTTTTTTCATGCTCGCTATCAGCGCAACTCTCAAGATTTGTCCACAGTTTATGACTTTCTTTTTCCAGATTCTCAATTATCTCATACTCATACCCAAACAATTTTCCCTAGGGTCATATCAATGAAATTTCTTCTCTCAAGCACGTGGGCTTCTTGAGATTTTTGAACAACAAAGTGATGTACTATAGGCAAAGCCCGACGTCTGCACACGTTAAGCATACGAAAAACATTTCGCCTGAGAAATGACTTTCGTCACTAGTTTAATGCAGCTTTTCTAACCACTTGATCAATCAGTGAAGCCTTGCCACTGAGTTCTATGAGACTTTTAGAACGAGAGTGACAATCATAGAGATTAATATAAATTTCGAGAATGTCATTTGTGACTATAAAAACTCCGAGAAGCGAAAGGAATTCCGAGAATGCCACAGGATTCTCTTCAATTCTCGTAGGATTCTAGAGATTTTCGAATCCCTGAAATCTCATGAGAATACTTAGAATCCCATGGGAATCCGAGAATCCCATGAGAATTCGGAAAACCCGGAAATCCGAAATCCGCCGTTTCCCCCTTGCTCTAAAACGTAATGGTATGTGGCTGACAACTGTAGCATAATCTCTTTGTTTCAATCCAAACATACATTGTCAACTTCGTGCCATTGGCATGTACACTAACCAAAATCATTGTCCAGGAAAGTGGGAGTGGTGTTAAGTGTTCGAAAACTTCTTAGACTGACTGTAAATGATTTAAGAAATTCTGGAAACTTCTGTTGACTTCCGAAACCTTGAACTTTTTCAACTGCTTTTTACAGTTTCCGATAGATTTCTAACATTCCGAGAATCCTCTCTCGGAAACCTATACAAGATTTCCTGCAATGACCAAGCCAGAAACCACCAGTGAGATTTCGAGAAAAAGAATTTTTTCATTGTGTATTATGTATGAAATTAATAACACATGAGATTTAATTCAATATCTAATAAATGAAATAAAAGTAGAAACTTTTAATGAAAAATTTTATTAATATGGGAATTTTCGATCTTGTACAATCATTTTCAACCAAATACCACGACTATACATGTTATAAACATCGACAAAAAAGACAAAGAAAAAACAGCAATGCTATCATGAAGCATATGATTAGGAACAATATCATTATAAAAATTATCATTATGAATTGTTATTATCATAAACAACAACATAATAAATAAATAAACATCATAAACATACACATCAAAAACAATATTAATGTATAAATCCATGCCAATATTTAAGATAATTTGATGTAATAACATTATGTATTAATAACTTAAGATACTATTCATTAGATTATGGTATATCGCAATAAGATATATTCAAAATACCTATGACCATTAAAAGATCGATAATTGTCATATTAATAAAATTTTTCATTAAAAGTTCCTACAGTTTTTTTCATTTATTAGATATTAGAGTGTATTGAGTGACAATGTCGAAAAACAAGGTTCAATGAGTTTCAGTCAACTTCGAAAATACAAACAAGTGTTACTAGTCGACTTAGCTTGATCGATTACCCCTGTCCTGACTCATTCTCGTTCGGTTGGAGGCTGTTTGATCAATTTCGGGATCTCAAGGACACTCGAACAACTCCTGAACACAACAGACTAGAGACTTCAGTCTTGTACAGGTCGAACGATAACAATCTTTTCTATCTAACGATTGAATTTCCAGTCAGAGTTCAATGGTGAAACCTTTCAAAAAATCGTTTACCACATAGTAACCATATCATTCACCTGATTGGTCAATTGATGACTGATCATATATTAGTTTGCTTCTATGAGGAAAACGATTCTCTATTGAATGCTGAAAATCAAAGGTCTCTATCTTGTTTCTATGAAAAATGATTGAGAAAATGGTCACCTGGCTTATATTTTGGCGCCGATATTAGCATAAAGTTCAGCAGTGTTAGTGGTCCTGAGTCTCATATGTTACTAAAACTATGAGTGGGATTGAGTCGACATCTTGAAGCCGACGTGGGACAGCTATTGGTACGATTATGCAGATTGCAAACGATAACTAAGCTTCGAAAACGATCGAGTTCTATACTGAAACCAGGTCCAGTTAGTGATCATGACGGGGTTTGAGTCGAGAAGCGTAGTGACATAGGGTCTGTGCTGAGAAGTAAAGTCGTGTCCCGTATTGGTACTCGCATAGTGACCAAATGGCGGATAGACGTTAAGACGCAATGTCGAACTATCATGAAATACTACCGTCCTGGTTCATCTCTGAAGGGTACACTTCATGTCTAGTTGTGGCAGTATCATGTTTTAAAACTAGAAGCTATTTCTAATGTGGAATCACTATTTCCTTCGTGTAGTACGATTATTTTTGAAAGAAAAAAAGTACATTATATTTTTTCCGCACATTGTGATGAATATTCGTTTGTCTGTGCATAAGTATAGTTTATCTGTACGAAGGATGAATGAGAGAAGAAGCAAAACAATAGTAAAATTTATTTTGTTTAAATGAGAAGGACATATTAACTAATTTGTTGAATACTTTTACTCTTCCTCATGTATACAGAATGTCCCAAAAGTATTTTCCTAAAAGTTTTTTCACTTTATGTCACTATTGATTGAACTTCGTTCAGCAATGGTTTTTTAAATAATAGATAAATACATCGAGTTTTGATTTCTACAGACAAATTTCAAAAGCACTGTTGAAAGTTAATATTTTTAGCCAACCGGGAACAAGTGAATTTCTGTATTTTCATATTTCAATGTATTTCCAGGTATTTCTAGGTATTTCTCAAAATACAGAAATAGTTAGAAATACGCTTTTCCCCTCTTGTGTTTAACCATAATACAAAAATTTAGCCTGTTTTCTTTTGTTAGAAAAACATTACAATTGTGATATGAAACGATAAAACTTTTAGGAAGGAAATCTTGTGATACCCTGTATATATTTATTTTTCCATATTTTTATTCAAAAATTAAAATACAATTAAGACAATAAATAATGATTAATGATAATAGATAATATTTAAATAATAACTATTTGAATAAAGCAATGACGTGATGATTCAATAATCGAAGTTGTCTACTTCAGACGTTCTACAGGATTCTATAATTTTTCAATTTTAATTTCTATTTCTTTTCTTTTTAATATTAATCATTTGTTAGTGGGACGGCAAGACTCTGAAACTGACAGGAGAGATGAATTTTGCCTTCTTCTTCTTCTTCTTCTTCCATTTTACCATCATATGAGTGATCTCAAAAAAGAAAGCAAAAAGAAATTTAAGTAGAAAAATCTATACATTTCTATATAACGTTGTAGGAAGACAACTTCGACTGTCGAAATATCACATATTGTTTCATTCAAAAAAATTATTATATAAATATTGTAATTTATTAAAACTAGTTATTTTTTATTTTATTTTTATTTTTGAATAAACATACAAAAATTAATCAATATATGTAACGAAGAGTAAAAATATTCAATAACTTAATAAATATGTTCTTTCCAATTAAACGAAATAACTTTAATAACCTCTACAAAAAACGTATACACAATCATGTTCAATTTCGGAAAATTCCGCCAACGATTAATGAAAATAGATCAACATATTATATTTTTAAAACAAAGTAAACAAGAAAATGTAATTCTTAAAGGAATGTCCTTGAATAACATCACGAACAATAAGAAAAATAATGATTTGTTAAACAATATAATGATAAAAGTCAGAAATTATATGCTAGAATGGCGATTCAAACAACAAAGATTCATGAAAATTGAAATAGCAACACAAGAAAACATTATAAACATCTACATGAACACAATCCAAGTTATAAGACATCATAAGTTTCGCACAACCTGGATAAACAAAAAGCAAATAATACAAAAAAACATTAAAAAAAACTTGGTAAGTTAAGAAACGAGAAAAGCAAAAACCTAAAAAATAATACCATAAATCATGGCGATATATACAAAAAATATTATAAATAAATCAAATGTTAAACTAGCAAATGATTGATTTTAAGTATTATCCAAAGGTTTGAAATTCACCAAAATACCTAAATTAATAAATGCAATTGATATAATAAAAAATGCAGAATCGGCACTACATTTAGCGCCACCAATAAGGACACAAGTAGTTATTTCTGAAAACAATACATTAATAAAACGATGGAAAGGACTTAAAAGTAAAACCTACATTCTAAAAAACAAGAAGCAATAAAAGAATTGAAAAACATACCTGCGGATAAAGGAGGAAAAGTAATAATAATCAACAAACAAGAATATATGAAAAGAGTCGAAGAAAATTACACGCCAATGATGTTTATGAAAAAGAAAAAGATCTAACAAGCATGATCAAGGCTAAAATAACAACACTTTACAGATTATTTAAATCGAATAGAATAATTCAGAAAATGAAAAATGAATTTTCATCAAGTAACGATCTTCCAACACTAAGAGAATAACCTAAAGAACACAAAGAAAATTGTCCAATGCGATTAATTACAAGTATAAACGTACAGTTCTCTCGCCGGTATTAAGATATGCATTCTCATTCATTCAACAATTAAGAGGAACAATCAAAAATTCAATATGTAACATGTCAGAATTCATCCATGGACTATCTAAAACCAAAACAGACTAACATGAATACTTAATAAGTTTACATGTACAAGATTTATTTACGAACATATTCGTAATAAAAACTATTCATATAGCTGTCGATAGAATAGATAAATGCGAAAATTACAGCGCATTAAATTTAACTAAAATAGATCTAAAACAAATAATATTATTATCATTAAACAATGATTATTGCCAGTTTAATGAAAAATATTACAGATACAAACAAGATTTACCCATGAGTAATAGTTTATCACCTTTTCTAGCTGATCTTTACATGAATGAATATATAAAGAAAAATCTGTAAAAAGTTAATTTACCCATTCAATTCTGGATGAATGTCAATAACATTCTTAAAATAATCACAATGAATGAATGAAGAACAAGTTCATTAATTAGTTGAAGATCTTAATAAAATTAAAAGTAAAATTAGATTCATTCATGGAAATGAAATAAATAACGCTATTAATTTTCTTCATACGACATTGTCAAAAAACAATGATAATACGCC